TGTGTGTGTGTGTGTGTGTGTGTGTGAGACACTCCTCAGGTGCCTTTGCCTCTCTGGTTTGTAAAACCCTTGCAGTGTTCTGATGTACAGAATGGAACCAGGAAAAGCGAATGGAATATCCTGCCATGTAAAGTCATTTTCTGTTGGTTTGGTTTGGTTTGGTTTTATTTTACTTTGCCTGTAGCAGGCCCTGCGGCTTTCCCTGTGAGCTGCATCCCCGGGTATCCATGGAGAAATTAATTCCCCTTGGGAAGGAGGCCGGAGCGGGATATTTGAACAGGCTGCCCAGGAAAGTGGTGGAATCAACATCCCTGGAAGTGTTCAAAAAGAGTGTGGGTGTGACACCTGGGGACATGGTTTAGTGTTGAGCATGGTTGGACTCGTTGATCTTGAAGGTCTTTTCCAACCTTAATGATTCCACAATCCTGCATTTCCATTGCCTGTCCCCTGCTCACCAGTGCAGCCCCTTCCCAGCAGGGCAGTTGCCAGCGTGGGCAGGGGCACAAATGACACTTGGTGTGACCATCCCAGGGCAGCAGCAGGGCCGGGGGGTGACAAGGAGCTGATGATTCCCAGGGTTCTCTGGAACTAATGGATCTGTGCAGTTCTCTGACCCGATGGCTCTGCATGTCCCTTTGTCCTGACATCCCACCTTGTATTTCAAACACATAGGCTTTTATAATTTTAAATTTAATGTAATTATTCTTTATTTTTATTTCAAAATTTTATTTTTTCTTTATTTTTATTTCTTCTTCATTTCCCCCTCTGCCCCCCTCTTTTCCTTTTTTCTCATTTTTTCCTTTTTTCTCCTTTTTTCCTTTTTCTTCTCTCCTGCTTTTTTCTTTTTCCTTTTAATCTCTTTTAACTGCTTTTTCCTATATTCTTTCCATCTTTTTCCTTTTTTATCCTTCCCTTTTTTCCCTTTTTCATTTTTTTCCTTTTTTCTTTTTTCTCCTTTTCTCTCCTTTATTTCTGCTTTTTTTCCCTTTTTTTTCTCCTTTTTCCCTGCTTTTTCCTATTTTTTTCTCCTTTTTTCTTATCTTTACTACTTTTTTTCTTTATCCTTTTTTTCTCCTTCTTTTCTTTTTTCTTATCTTTACTCCTTTTTTCCCCTTTACTTTTCCCTTTTTTTGTCCCCCCTTTTCCCCGCCTTTTAATTTTTATTATTTTGTTTATTTTTCTTTATCAACCCGATTCCTTTACTTCAAACTTCCCCATTTACCCCAACACCTATTTAAGCTCAGCTTTGTGGGTTCGCTGGGCTCGGCTTGGCCGTTCGGGGGCGGAGCGCGGGGTACCCCGGGGGGCGGGGCCATGCAAATGAGCAGGGGCGGTGACTATCTCCGACCCAGTATGCAAATGAGGGGGCGTGGGCATGCAAATGAGGAGGGTAATAACAGTAGATTGGTTATATGTAGATGAGGGGGCGGTGTCATGCAAATGAGGAAGGCTGTGACCATCCCGGGAGCCTGTATGTAAATGAGGGGGCGGTGCCATGCAAATGCCCGCCGTCAGTGACAAGATGGCGGCGGCGGCGGCGCGGCGGGCGCAGCTGGTGCTGGGGCACCTCTCGGGGGCCGCCCCGGGCCCCGCGGCCGCCCCGACGGCTGTGCCCTGCGCCGGGGTCCCCCCGCGGGCCGCCAGCCCCGACGACGTGGTGGTGGTGCACGGCCGCAGGACCGCCATCGGCCGCGCCAAGCGCGGCGGCTTCAAGGTACGGATGGGAGGGTCCTGCCCGCCTGCCCCCCCCCCCGCCCGCCCCTCACAGGTGCTGGGATCCCCCTCCTCGCATACCCGGGTGCTGGGCGCCCAGCTGCCGCCCAGGAGCTGCTCTACTCTGAAAAAGTGTAAAAAAAAGAACGTTTTGCGGTGGTTTTAATGGTGGGGGTGGGTGGTCCAGGTGTGGCAGGGCCGGTGGCGTCCCCCAGAAGAGCGGGGCAGTGTCCCGAGGGGTCCCCTGGGACCAACCACGGTCTCCGCTGTCACCTGCCCTGGCACGCGGAGCATCCCCTTGGAAAAGCAGCGTGTCCCTCACCTCCTCGGACCTGCCACCCTTCTGGAACCCGCGGCCACAGAGCCTTCAGCGAGAACGTGGTGCCAGGATGGCCCCGAAGGATGCACGTTCCTTGTCATCCTTCAAAACGGGTCTCGTCATGCCGGCGGTGCTTCCCACCAGCTGAGGGGCCACAAAATAAATTCTTTCACAAAATAAGTCAAGGGGCTCAGTTTGCTGAATCCTGTCACGTAACTCACTGTAGTTGTTTGATTTTGAAGGCCCTACGCAGTGTGTAGGGAGGTCAGGTAAGAAAGCAGTGTGTGTGTTCAATTGCTTGAAAGATACTTGGGGTGAAGACAGAGTAACTCTGTTGCAGCAGGAAAACAACAACCAGTGTGAGCTGAGAAGTGGAGTAAAGCTGCCTTAGCCCACACATCAGCCCTCTGGAGTGGTCTGGGGGTGAACTGGTGGCAGGGCTGTGACTGGTGTTTGCTGGTGGCACTGATCCCCTGTGCTCTCAGGACACGACACCCGACGAGCTGCTGGCTGCCGTGATGAGAGCTGTCCTCCAGGATGTCAACCTCCGTCCTGAGGCCCTGGGAGACATCTGTGTGGGTGAGTGAGAACCTCCTGGTCCGGGTGGCTCTGTGGGACACGCTGCTCCTGGTGTCCCATGGGATACTCATGGGGTTGGGAGGGGTTAGTGTGCAGCGTGGGGTTTAGGAAGGCAGTGTTCCCATTTCACGCCTGTCCTGTCCGTGGTAGGGTGATCTGGGTGCTGGGTGGTGCTGAGCCGGGGTGATGGGAACATCCCTTTGATGCCTGCAAGGGGAATGTAACCCATTGACTGGAATTGTATCTTTGCACTCAGGGAACGTGCTGCAGCCTGGAGCTGGTGCCTTGATTGCAAGAGTTGCACAGTTTCTGAGGTAAACTCCCAACCAGGTTGAGGTTCTCCCTCTGCTCCCTCGCCTTGGCTGCAGAGCAGGGATTGGAGGTTGTGGTGGGGCTCATGCACTCCCAGGAATTATACCAGTCCACCTTTTGCCTAGAAACTAGACTTTGGTCGAGTGTTTGGAGAACGCTGATGGCAAAGGGACGAGGAGGCAGAGGTGAGGCTGTTTAATCTGTTTGTGCTGCCTCTGAATGGGAGATCTTGTTTTGTGGGCTCCCAGCTGCACCTGGTGCTTCTCCAGACTGGGAGACTGTGCTTCTCTCTGCTGTGCCTGGTCCCAAAACCATGGAGTGGGCTCAGATCCTTCTGTCATTGTCCAGTGTTGGTGGTCAATGGCTAATACTGAGCTGGATCCCAGATTCCAAATATTTCAGCCAGTGTCTGTTGCTGTTGTTTGCTTCTGTCAGTCAGTGCATTACCACCACTTTGGAGAGGTGCTGGCACAGCCCACCAATAATTAGGAATATTGCAACACTTTTCAGGGTTTCTGGCCCAGATCAGAGCTTGGGATCTAGGCCCAGGAGAGAGTCCTGCTTAGAGAGGACCTTCTGAAGACAGACTAATGGGGAAACAGCACTCGCAGCCACTTGCCAATCAAGTGGGGAAGTTATCTTTGAACTTTGCTTTCCCTTGGTGCAGGACCAAATAAGTCAACAAATGTATAAAGGGGTCAGTTTGGAAACTTGAGGGTTAAAGTTTAATCAGGTGGTTTAATGCTCCCTTTAGAGCTTTGGGTTGTTGGTGGTTTTCATCACTGAGACTTTGTCAATGCTGTCTTGTTTTCCAGTGGTATTCCAGAGACAGTTCCGTGCTCCAGTGTGAACCGGCAGTGCTCCTCAGGTCTACAGGCCATTATCAATATAGCTGGTAGGTGTTGTGGGCACTGGGATCAGAGTCCAAGCCTGCCCCACCCCAAGTGCTCATTCCTCCTGTCCTCCAGTCTCTCTGAACAGTGAGAACAGTGACAATATCTTGCGCAGCTGGGAATTTTCAGTGTGGTGTTACTTGAATACTTTTATAACCTTGAGTGGCCAAGTTTATCCCTAGGGAAGTAACTTGGTTTTCTGGGGATAAGTTCTACCATCACCTCCATATCAGGCAGCTTCCAGAAGGGTCCCTCCAGTCCTCTCTGGCCCCATGTCAGGTCATGGTCAGTCCTGAGCCCCATCAGCTCCTTGGTCTGGCTCTTGCTCTGGCAGGCAGGAGGATGAGGGAATGGCCATTTGGCTGTGCCAGATGCCTCAGGGGTTTGGAAACCAGAGCTGGGATGGAAATGCTTTTGCTCCTGATGACAGTAAGAATGTTTGTGCACTGCTGTTACAGGTGGCATCCGAAATGGATCATATGACATTGGCTTGGCCTGTGGGTAAGGAAGTCTTTTCATGGTACTTGCTTGGGCTTCCCGAAGATATCACTCTGTCCCTCTGCAATAGCCTGCCCAAAATTAGCTTTTTAACTAATCTCCAGCTAACTATTGTCTTGGAAGACCAGCAGCTGTCTTGGAAAAGAAATTAATGTCCTACCCGTGCTAATAAGTGCTCTGCAGGAGCTGTTCTGTGGTGGATGAAAAGGCTGTTCTCTGCTTCAGTCCTAAAATCATAAGAAGTGTTTATTTTTTAGAGGATTATGTAAATGTTAGGTTGGTTTTGGAGAAATACTAGTGACCACATACACATTCACTTTAGAAGAACAAGTGAAAAAGTGTTCAGTAATCCTGAGGTTAAAATACTGGGTTTCTCTTTTTCTTTACCTTGGTGATTTTAAGTCTTTTTTGAATTATTACTGCACAGAGTTATCCATCAGTCCTTAAGAAAAGGTTTATATTTACAGCTTCTCAGCACCTGCACGTACACATCGAGCAAGATCAGATGTTGAGAACACTCTTCCCCTCTTAGGCTGCTGCAAAATAAAGAGCTCAGCAGGACACTTGTGCTCCTCTGCTGTGGGCAGAGTACCTGGTGTTCATGGACAGTGCCTGTGCTTGATGCTTTTCACAGCTTCACTTTAAAACAATTGTTTCAAGAAATTGCAGTCAAGTAATGCAGTGTCCTTCGAGCTGGTTTAAATTTCTCATAGCACTTACTGTAAGCTGCTTGGGGGGAAGACCTTATTTTCTGCTTGTTTTTCATTTTCCAGGAAGAGTGTATGTGTTATTTATTCTTGATGAGTGTATTTGTGTGGTGCAGAGTAGAATTCAAACCCTCTTCCCATCGTAGGCTTCATAATCTAGACTGACTTTGCAAAAGCTCACCCGTCTTAAGTGATGGCAGTGTATTTCTGCAGTAAATTTGAGTACTTTAGTGTGTTAATTCATTTGTAGGTCAAAGATTGCAGCCTCTGGGATCCGTGTCTTAAATTCTTTGTGTTGCAAAATATAAATGATGCAACTCACTGAAAGCTCTTTGTCATGGTTTGCTTAATACTTCTCTTATTCCACTGCCAACCTGTTCTTAAGCTCTAAGTGGCATGTTTATGGCTGTTGACAATCTCACTGGAAAATCCAGCCCTTGAACCTTGGGTTTCTCATTATGTTTGAGGATAAAAGTGCCAGAATCGTTAGCAATTCCTTCCTAGCTGTGGAAACACAAGAAATTAACTGCTGACATTGGTATCCTGTTCTAGTGAAACAAGGACCAATTGAACCCTGCAATCTGTTTTCATTTCATGATAATTCGTATATTGATGATTAAAGGGCTTCTGCCTCAGCCAGTTCTTAATTAGCAGTCTGTGTTTCTGTGGGATAATAGGAAAGCCTGTTGTCAGGATACTGAGTTTTGATCAATCTTAATGAAGCAATTCAAACTTTTCCTGTGTTTAGTGTGGAAACAATGTCCCTCAGAAGTGCAAATAATCCTGGTGATATCAGTTCCAGCATGATGGACAACAGCAAAGCTCGAGACTGCCTTATTCCTATGGGGTAAGTGTTTCCCCTTCCCACAGTTTAAGGATTTCCTGGATTTTGTGTCTCCTCAGTGGCTGTAGTTTCAAATCCATCTGAATTCAGTGAGCTTGGAGCTGTGTGTATCAGCATCCTCCTTGGCAGTGGTGGAAGATTAATGATGTGAAATGGGGGAAGAAAGGCTGAGAGAATTGGGATTGTTCAGCCTGGGGAAGAGAAGGCCTCAGGGTGACCTAATTGTGGCCTTCCAGTGCCTGAAGGGAGCGTACAAGGAAGATGGAGAGGGACTGTTTACAAGAGAATAGAGTGATGGGATAAGGGGTAATAGCTTCTACCTGAAAAGAGAGCAAGTTTAGATTACATACTAGGAAAAATTTTTTTATTCTGAGGCACTGGAACAGGTTGCCCAGAGAAGCTGTGGCTGCCCCATCCCTGGAAGTGTTCAAGGCCAGGTTGGAGGGGGCTCTGAGCAACCTGGTCTCGTGGAAGGTGTCCCTGCCCATGGCAAGAGAGTTGGAACTAAATGATCTTTAAGGTCTCTTCCAACCCAGGCCATTCTATGAAGATCTGCAACCCTGAGGAAATATTTCCTTGTCTTAAGCTTGATGAGCAAGAAGAATGGATTTGAATCTTGTTTTGGTCCTAGATTTGATTCAGGATTTGTTTCTGCCAGCAGTTCTTGGTTGAGAAGGCAGCAGTTGGCTTTGACACTAAAGCCAGTCCTTGTACCTTGTGTTGTCCCAGTAGAAGCCAACTGCACCTCCATTAGATGTGTCCTTGTATTAACTCTGTGATGTTGTTTTCCCCAGAATAACCTCAGAAAATGTGGCGGAGAAGTTCGGGGTTTCCCGGAAGAAGCAAGACGCCTTTGCCTTGGCTTCCCAGCAGAAGTAAATGCCGTTTTTGTTGGGGTTTTTTTTAACCTTTGAGTTAAGGGATAAATACAGCTAGAAAACACGCTGCTATTTCCCAAGAGAGGTCAAGTGCAGCCTTCGTGTTGCCTTCCAGTCCTTAATAGTGAGTAAGGAAGCTTGAGATGGTCTGACCCAAGATCAGTGCGTGTCCAGGGTTGTGTGTGACGAGGAAAACTGAAACTAGAGCTGTCCTGGGGATGGTGTGACTGACCCTGTACAAGTATCACCAGGCACATGAACCCTGGGCAGTGAGTGCCCCTGTGTTTTTCAGCATTGCCTATGGCTGAGGGGTTGGAACTGGATGATTTCTAAGGTTCCTTCCAATCCAAACCATTCCATGTTTCTATGATACAACCTCGGTGAGGTTTCTGGAACGAGTCCGTGGTGCAGTATTTTCACAGTGGCTTTGGCTCAGGATCACTGGAACCTGAACGTGGGAGCAGCAGCAGAAGGAACCTTTCCCAAGAGGGAATAGTTGAGTGCAGCTGTTTGTAGGGAACTGCTGAGCTTGTGAGAAGAGTGGCTTGTCCTTGCTGCAGGTGTTTGGCTCTGAGTGAGTCCATTCCTACCTCTGATAACCTTCCTCTTGGATTAAATCACTGCCAAAGTCAACTGACCCTGGGATCCGTGGGGCTGTACTGGCAGAGCAGTGGCAGGTGATGTGGTAAAGCTGCTGCCATCAAAGAGTTAAACTCGCTCCCAGAGCTCTGTTTAAGCATTGCCCCGGTCCAATTATTTATCTTAACACAGGAAGCCACTGCACAGGGCAGTTAACCTTTAAATTCTGGCCCTGCTGCTCAGGGAACTTGGCGTGCCAGCCTTTCTCACTGACGTGGGACTGATAACCAAAAGGGTATGTGAATGTGATCCTCGCGCTCACGTGAGGCAGGGGGTGACTTTCTGGCCTTGGTCTCAGGATGTCTGTGAAGTTACTGAACTGTCCTTCAGCATTTTGCTCTAACTCACTTACCTGGGAGCACTGAATATTTTATTAGGAAAAGTGTAAAGTGATGAGGGGGTAAAACAAGCTTTTGGTCTCCAATTTGTATTCCCTTTAAAGGATTTACCTCTGGAAGGTAAATCCTGTAAATCAGCTCCACTTTGGAGGCTTTTAAAATACCTTGTTGATAGGAAAGATAAAATCTGTGTGGCCTGAGCTAATTCTAGTTTAGTTAATAGTATTCTGCCTACTTATATCCATCTGGTCATGGCAGCTGTTCCCTACTGCTGATTCTGATGTCTCAGGGACCAGGTTCTGTCCTCAGTGCACCCTAACTGCTAAAGGTCTTGCCCAGAGAAGCTGTGGATGCCCCATCCCTGGAAGTGTTCAAGGCCAGGGTGGATGGGGCTTGGAGCAACCTGGAATAGTGAAAGGTGTCTCTGCCCGTGGGCTGGAATAAGTGATTCCATTCTACAAAGTCACACTGAACTATGCAATGCACATTGCCTTGTTTTGGGTTGAAAGGCTGCAGTTAAATGATAGAAAATTAAAGTCTGTGGTCTAAAGCTTAACTTGCCTTTAGTAGGACAAAACCAGGAACAAGTGTAACTTCAGCCATTCCTTAACTTGTCAGAAGTCACTGGCATTATGTGGAGACAGCCCACGTGCTCTGTTTAAACTCTCAAAAGTAAGAATTGATGTTTGAACATCAGGATTCATTTCTTTTCATACACTTCTGATGTGACTGTACCTCTGGACAAGTACAGCTTCATGTTGGGAGCTGGTGGTGGTCAGTCAGTCACAGAGGTGTTGATGGGAACAGAACAGGGATCTTGCTCAGAAGTCTGTGATCCTGTGACCCAGGTCTGGGGACAGTGCCCATAATGTTGATGTATATGTGAAGTTTGTCTTCCCATGAATGGAAAGAAGAATTTGCCTGTTGTTTTGACCACCACTCAGTGAGGATGTACCAAGTCTCACCTTAGTTCACTCTCTGTCTGTTTTCCTTCATTTCAGTTCTTCTGCAGTTCTCCTCCAAAATATTTTAACATTTCACACTCTTCTTTACCAGAGCAGCAAAAGCTCAGCAGATGGGACTGTTTAAAACTGAGATTGTTCCAGTGAAGACCACTGTTGTAGATGATCAGGGCAACCAAAAAACAATCACAGTGAACCAAGATGAAGGGATTAGGCCCTCCACAACCCTGGAAGGCTTGGCCAAGCTGAGACCTGCCTTCAAAGAGGACGGAAGCACTACAGCAGGTCAGCTCAGCTGTTAAATCTGTGTTGTTTCTGTGGTTTACCTGCCTTGTTCTAGAACATGCTTAGGCAAAAAAGGTGTTAACAGGTCTTTTCCAACAGGTAATGCCAGCCAGGTCAGCGATGGAGCAGCTGCTGTTCTCCTGGCAAAACGCTCGAAGGCAGCTCAGCTGGGACTCCCAGTCCTGGGGGTGCTCCGGTCCTTCGCTGTGGTGGGGGTCCCACCTGATGTGATGGGCATTGGGCCAGCTTATGCCATCCCTGTTGCTGTGGAAAAGGCAGGTAAGAACCCCCCTGTCATTCACACAGTGTTTGGCAAAAGGGAAATCAGACTCCCTGGGCTGAGATTTAAGACTACATTATTCAAGCATGAGCAGCTGTTGGCCACAGGAGCAGTGAAATTAAATTCCACTCCTTAAAAGAGGTCCTGCCTCTGACTGTTGCAACACTGTTCACTTGTAGTGATGAGTAAATTGTCATTGAGAAGCTCAGGAGTAAATCCCTGCACAGTTTCCACAACAGTTAACACTAAACCACTCGCCATGTGTTCACTTAGTGCTCTTCCTTAACATGACCAGCACTGGGGCGTGTGGAGTTTGTGTTTGGTTTTTGAGGGTTTTTTAGTTTATGGCTTTGGCATCATTCCAGTGGTCCTTAGGAAATTCATTAGGTTAATCAGCTTCTATAGCTGATGATTGTTGTTGTGCCTGCCTGCCATGGCTATGGTCACACGCCCACCTGTAGCTTTATCTTTCACTTTCAAAACACCCTTCAATCCTTCAATCATCCTAGATAATCCCGCTGCAGAGAAATCACACTTAGTCTAAGGAAACTTGGCAGACTCAGTGGCACAATGCTATGAACTGTGATGTTTTGCAGACTTCAGACACTGCTGCATGTAAACACATGTACAAGTGTAGATACCCCATGTGGAGCCAAGGTCCTTCTTTTATCATTAGTGGAGAAGAACTGCAATTCATAAAGGGATGCTGTGAGTGAATTACTCTCTTTGTTATGAGGCAAAAACATCTCTTTTTAACTCCTCACTTTTCTGGCCCATAGGTCTGACTCTGAATGACATTGATGTATTTGAAATTAATGAAGCCTTTGCAAGCCAGGTGAGTGATCATCCTCTTTGAGTTGCTGCATTGCTTGGCAACTGAGTGTATTTTCAGGTTAAGATTTGAACTTGTTCCACATATTACATCTTTAGCTGAATGTTATTAACATGTGCAAACTATTTTCCTTTTCCTTCAGATAAAAATAAGCTTAAGCAGCTTAATATTAGGAAAGAAAGTCCACTGAATAAGAATGTGATCTTTGCTATTGCATCCTTGCAAAATCTGTTTCACCAGGGCTGTAGTTTGTTGTCAGGTGGTGTTTGGAGACAGGAAACTTCACTACTGTGTCGTATCAGGAACAGTGTGGCAGCAGGACCAGGGAAGTGATTCTTCCCCTGTACTCAGTGCTGGTGAGGCCACCCCTGGAGTGCTGTGTCCAGGTCTGAGCCCCTCAGTTCAGAAAGGACATTGAGGAGCTGGAGCAGGTCCAGAGAAGAGCAACGAGGCTGGGGAAGGGAAGGGAGCACAAGTGCTGTGAGGAGAGGCTGAGGGAGCTGGGGCTGTTCAGCCTGGAGATGAGGAGGCTCAGGAGAGACCTCCTCACTCTCTGCAACTCCCTGACAGGAGGCTGTAGCCAGGTGGGGGTTGGTCTCTTCTCCCAGGAACCAGCAGTAGGACAAGAGGGCATGATCATAAGCTCTGCTGGGGGAGGTTTAGGTTGGATATTAGGAAGAAATTTTTACAGAGAGAGTGATCAGACATTGGAATGGGCTGCCCAGGGAGGTGGTGGATTCACCATCCCTGGAGGTTTTTAAGATGAGACTGGATGTGGCATCAGTGCCATGGTCTGGTAACCATGGCAGTGTTGGATCGAGGGTTGGACTTGATGATCTCAGAGGTCTTTTCCAACCCGTCTGATTCTATGATTCTCTACAAATCTGTGACATGTCTGTCAGCATGTGCATGGGCTCAGTTTGAGATGATGTGGATAGTTGTAGCTCACTTCTCTTGTAACCAGTTCCACTCCTTTCCCCTGGGAAAGGTGGTCTAGCTGGAGTCAGGCCTCCAAGTTGGAGGAGAAGAGCTGAGAACTAACGGAGACGAGAGAGCATCAGCATGAAACCATTCCCTGTGTCTTTCCAGGCTGTGTACTGTGTTGAAAAGCTGGGCATTCCCATGGAGAAGGTGAACCCCCTGGGAGGAGCGATAGCACTGGGGCACCCCCTGGGCTGTACTGGTGCTCGCCAGGTCGTCACTTTGCTCAATGAGCTGAAGCGCAGAGGGAAGAGGTGAGTGCTGAGGATCAGTGCTGGCCTGAACACCTACGTGTGTGTAACTAACACAGGCTCAGGAGTCACCACAGTTTTGGGGTCACCTTTCTCCATCCCTTGGATGGCTTGGAATATGAATTCCCTGTGTTTCTCTTGTTGGCAAAGGAGAGAAGTGGGCAGCTCATATTTATTGTATTTTTTATTTGTATTTTTCTCCCAGATGATGTAAACCTGAGCTGTCTTTTTCCTAATTCCATCTGTTGTTTCAGGGCCTATGGAATTGTGTCCATGTGCATTGGAACTGGCATGGGTGCTGCAGCTGTGTTCGAGTACCCAGGGAAGTAACTCCAGTACTGACAGAACAACACAACAGCTCGTTCTTTGCCTTCCCTAGTGATAGCAAATGATTTGCACTGTGAAATCAAGTGAGATTCGTTACTAGATTTACAAATTCTAGGCAGAAATTGTGAAGTAGAATTAATGGAACAGCTCTGCTAAGGAGGTGGGGAAATGCAAAACTAGCCCATGGCTTCCAGACGTGAGAAATTAGCTCAGCTGAAGTTCAACTACAGGCCCTGGTCTGCTGATTATGAATTAATATTTTTAAATTAATCGATCTCTTTATTCTGTGAATATTATCAAAGAGAAGTAGTTCACAGGACAGTATTTTTGTATGGCAAATTGTCTAAAAGGGTCACTCAAAATGAAAACATCAGTGCACATGAAAAGGCTTTTCCAGGTGGTTTTTCTTTTTTTTAAGATTTAACCATTTTTCAAGAAGTTTAAAACAGCTTGTTTTGAAGCAAAGACTTCAGATTTCCTTTACAACTGTGTCTGTCATATCCAAGTCCTAAGTTGTCTGTGTCTGACACTGTCCCTACACTGGAGGATGTGCTGTAGCTCGCTGCTGTTGGAGTTGCTCTGAAGCCTCCAGTGGGGGAAAGTGGAAGGACTGGAATGTAATCTCCAAGGAAGTGCCTGAATAAAAGGTTCTGTTGGATTGCTAGAAGCCAGGAATTTGGAAGTGGCCATTCCATCTTTTACAACATGTCTAATTATCTGTTTGTGTGACTCTATGGATAAGCTTGTGCTTAATCTTATTTACTTACCTAACATAAAGCAAATTTCAGCATTACACTTACTGCAAGCACTATATGAACATCAGTGACAGCTCAGTCCTTCAGCACTAACACAAATGTGTGTTAGATCTTTTGTCTTCTGTCATCCCTTACCTGTTCTCTCTCATCTGAACAGGAAGATCACTGAAGCTCAGAGTCAATGGCTTGAAAAAGAAATGTACTTATTGACTTTGATGTGTTAGAAATGTTTAAATTTGTAACAAACAGAAGTTCTTTGTCCTGATTCTTGTTTTTGCACTTAATAATACAATTGGGTTCTTGCAATACATTTGTTTCATTTTTATGATGATTGTTAGTTGAAGGTCATGATGAGTTAGAGCTCTTTGATATCTCACATTCCCATGCTGTAGCCTCTCTCACTCAGCACTCAGGCTGTATTTTAGAGCCAAAAGATGGAATTATTTGGAGGGGTTAAAGAGGCGTTAGCATCCTCCAGAGTCTTTTCACACTGAGGTTCCTGTGTATAACCTGAGTTGCTCTGTATGAGCTGTTGGGCATTTTCTGTTCTCCTCCTGTGTGGATCCCAGCCCCTTCCCACACACTGCCTTTAACAAAAACCTTTTATGTGAGGGGAGTGGAAAACTTTAACAGGCTCAGAAGTGGGAATTTCAGTGACCTTTAGCTAAAATAATACTAAAAACATTTAAAAAGAAGTGTGAGTAAATGGGAACCATGTGGGGGGAAAGAATGAAGAGGAGTAAGGATTCCTCCCTCTGTTGCTGTAGGGGATGTTCTCAAGACCCAAGCATGATGAAAGAGGCAGGTTGGTAATTTTCCAAGGAGTCCAGGGAAAGCTGGCTCTTCTCCTTTTCATGTAAGGCATCGAGAAAAGAGCCTGGGGAATGCTGGCCTATTCACCAATTCTTGCTTTTATTATGTGTCGATGTCCATTTTAATGTCAAATAAATAAACGAGGCAAAGCAAAAGCTACTTTAAGGTAGGAACAGTCTTTAGCTGTAATTTGAGGTGTGCTGGGCCACGCAAAGGGCTTTGACCTGACTTACACAGCTGCTTTGCAACGCAAAACCTTGTTCTGTGGCTAATGCTAAGCTTATCACAGCAATAAAAGTAACAGCACAGGATGAATTTATGACTGGTTAAGGTACCATGAGAATTTTTTTTTTCCTAACTTAAATTTTCATTCTGCTAAAATTCCAGTCCCTATTAAAAGAACAAAAGTAGATGAAAATACAGGCTCAGCTGCATTCAGCCTGTTACCTTGACATTTGTTCCACACTGTGTTGTTTAAATTAAAGGTCGTCATCATTCCCCTTGTGCATTCCTCGTCCTCTGATGTGGAGCTTGCAAGGCTTCTCTCCCAGCACTCCAGCAATGGTCACGAGAGCTTCATAGTCAATGTTGCTCCTAAAGCACAGCAAAAAGACAGTTCAGCTACAGCAACGTGCAGTTCTGTGTGGAGGAAAAAGGGGAGAATGGTGTCCTAAGAGTCACAGTCACAGGTCCTTAACATTAGTGTCAAGTCCAGGTGACAGTCTTACTTCCCAGGGCCATGCCCCACAGGTACATACAGGGTCTTTGAAAAGAATGGTTGAGTCTGTGTGTGAAGACATTAATTATTAACCTCATGTTTGTAAGAAGAGTATCTTCCTACTTGTAAAATTGTATTTAAATAAATGAAACCAAGCTCTGCTGAGAGCAAACACCTGCACTGCCCTTGATGTGAAAACTCCTCCCTGTGACAGGCGAAGTTTGAAGCAGAAAAGTTTCTGTCACTCCCCTAAGACATGGGGCAATCAGTGGAGTCCAGATTGTAAATGAACATCAAAAAGGTTACAGCAAGTGTAGTTTTGTGCTAAGTCTCACAGCATAATTTGCCAAAGGCTAATGTCACTCAACATTCCTGACACTGTTCCTCTGAAGGACTTCTCTGCATCCAAGTGACAGTTTTGTAAAGGCCTGAGGCAAACGCCTGTTCTGCCAGACAGCTTTTGTTTCTTCCTTCTCATAAAACAATTCTTCTGCAGGAAAACCACTGATTTGGGGAGGTGAATTATTAAAATCACCTCACACCTTGCATATAATTATTTCCTAATGCCATGTTGGTCCTGTGCTCTGCTGTGTTGGGAATTCTTCATCTGGAGCTGCACAGATGAGCTGGCTGCTACACGGTGACATCTTTGCTTTCTGGTACTTCCAGGCATTTCCAGACATGCTGATTAGTGTATTTGTTGAACAAAATGAAGTGCTTCAGGCATATTCAGAAGCATTCCAGAAAAATCTAGGCAGTCAGGAGCCTGGGGAGGCCTCTGGTCCACCGTGCTGCTCTGAGCAGGGACAGCTTAGAGCAGCTGCTCAAGGCTTCATCCCATTGACAGAGCAGTAGCTCCAGTGATGGAAATCACTGGATCATGTTCCAGGGAGATGGAAGTTATGACAATAACTCAAGTCACCTACAGTTTGTTTCCTGAAACTTCCCTGTCAGCAGTTTTCAGAGCTCATTGAAATCACTAGGATAGACTTGTCTTAAACTTCCTGCCACTACGTGATAACTTCCAAGAAGATAATTTGTAATGGAAGCTGAATTTTCTTACAGGAGTTAAATCTCCCTAATTAGAGCAAAGAAATTAAAGGCTTTGTGTCAGCCAAGATTTATGGAATGGTTTGGTTTGGGAGGGACCTCAAAGTTCATCTCAGTCCAACCCTGCTGCCATGGGCAGGGACACCTTCCACTAGACCAGGTTGCACCAATCCCCCTCCAACCTGGCCTTGAACACTTCCAGAGGTGGGGCATCTACAACTTCTCTGGCAACCTGTGCCAGGGCCTCCCCACCCTCACAGGGAAGAATTTCTTCCTAATACCTAATTAAACGTGCCCTGTCAGTTTGAATCCATTCCCCCTTGTCCCATCACTCCATGCCTTTGTTCAAAGTACCTTTCCAGCTCTCATGTAGCCCCTCCAGTCTGAACAACGCCAACTCTCTGTCAACAGCAAGACTTCAGTTCTGTTCACTGTACCTTGCAGTAAAGCTGATCTGCAAGATCTCTCTGGTAGGTGCATCCCCTTCACGTGCCTCCAAAATGCCATTAGTCGGGAAGACTGAAAATACTTCCAGGGTGTTGGGTCTTTCCTGTTCTTCTGCAGTGAAAGGGCCAAATATCAAACAAAGCCATGCAAGACCTGTTATGTAAGTATATACAGCATGTAACACTCATAGCAAGGCACCTCTTTGCTGGGCAACTAATAAATCACATCTCACTCTGTCAGAGGCTTTCTGTGCATGTGCTCAGCCTCTGTTTTCATCCTCTAATCCAGGGCTGTGATCAGTGGCCTCCATGTTAAAATAATAAAGCCCTGATCTTCTTTCCTCTGGAGCCCATCTGTTGTTAACAGCAGCAGACATGCTCAAACTGAGCTCATGAAGAGCTGCTGCTCCTGGTTGCCCCTCAGGATTGATTTATAAATGAGCAAAGCATATCCACGAGTTGTGAGGGCTAAGAGTCAATCTTTTGGTTAAATGAGGAGCAACTGTGGAAATCAGTAGTGACACACTGATGTCAGAAAAGGTAGAGGAAAGAGAGGAGAGGAAAAGCCCTCGTAAGAAGCAGTCCACATATGTTTGCACCCAACATCATCACATATTGCCTCTATACTGAGTGCATGCAGCCTTAATAAAAACACTGAATATGAAACTACACAACAAGGAAACCAATTGCAAAACCAGAATACCCAGCAAGGCAGTCCAGTAGCTTCTACAGCCGCTCCTGTTGTACAAGAAGACATGTTCTGTCTTGGTCTGTGCAACAAAGCAGGTCTGGAAATCAAGTATGTTGCAAGAGAGCTCCAGGACCGGAACACTGAGATAAGCAGTCACTGGGACCAGCTGCAAAACAGAGGGAAGGGAAAGGAGAATAAAATCCACCGCATTTTTGTAGAGCTTTAATAATACCTGCTCCAGCTGGATCATTCTTAACCCCAAGCACTGAATCAAGAGTCATTGTTCTATGTTCTTTCATAATGGTTAATTCCCATCCTGCAGCCCTGAGTGAATTAAGTTGTTCCTTGTGTTACTGTTTTGGGACAGGTTTTCAAACCAGACACTGTGGTCTTAATGAAGTAACACGGAGTGAACATTCTTATTTGTTTTTAGGGTTTTCTGTGGAGCTGCAGACATTACAGCATCTCGCTGTCCCTCAGGACTGTATGTGGCCCGCTGTGAGTCACTCAGTTTGTGCAGATTGCTCAAGATTATTATTCAATTGACTGTATCTTAGATATGGTGCTTGTTCTTGCACAGGCCAGTCCTCAGAAATCCCTGGTATGAAAAGAAAATAGAAGTGCCTGCAGTGTCCTGGGCCTGCTGAAGGCTTGGTGGGGGTTATAGATGATCAGTCTTTAAGCGCATGTGGGCTGTGACCACACTGCAGGGGTTTGATGGACTCAGGAGCCTTTCCAGAAGCTCTTGGGTGCTGCAGGAGGCAGAGCCTGGTGACTCAGGCACTGGCTTGTTCCCTGGGACAGCCCTGACCCTGTCTCAGAGTCACACTGTGACTGGGCGTGTGGCCCTTTGATTGAGCCGTGTCATCCAGGCCGTCACCCTGTGCAAGGGACTGGGGTACCAGCACCAGGGTGGGACCCCAAACTCTCTGTCCACCTGAGAGTCACAGCAACCCCATGGCCATTCACTTTACCCGGATTACACCATTCACTGTAGTTCAAGGCTGAATAAATCCTAACCCGAGTCAGAGATGCTGCTGGAACAGCCCTTTCCCAGGGCCCAGGTTCTGATCTCACCTGGGCAGTGTGGTTACTGTGCTCAATGACCAGATTTTGACTAAACTTCAGCTTTCTCTCTCCATTCTCCAGCTGGAGCACTTCGGATCCAGGAAGCAGCTGGGTATCTGGCAAGTGTTGATACCTAAGTAACTCCAGAGTTATGTGGAATGACACTTTCACCTATGGGAAGAGAAATCCAGATGATCACCACATAAGAAGACACTGCGTGCAGGAAATCCAAAGTAAACATTACACAAAGGCCCAGGCACACATTTTCCCACTGGAACCCAAGGGTGTCATGCCAGCAGCCAAATTCCCACTGGAACAAAGCATTATAATTAGAAAAAAAACACAGCTATTTCCTATGAATCCAGTACACGGAGACAGAGTGTAAAGGTGAACAGCTGATCTCTGAACCACAGGGGAGAAACAGTCTCTAGGAAGCTAAAGGTTCTGAATTCCTGAGGTTACAAATACCATATTCCCAAAGCTGTCTTAGACATATAAGTTCTCTTTCTTCCCACATGCGGAGAACTGAGGTGTGTGTGTCTCTATGTCAGAATGAACACAGCAAAATGAGAAGCACATTTAAAAAATGCAACTGTTACTCATTCTTTGCACCTTACCTAACTCTCTACTCCAGGACTTTGTTTCCTTTAAGGTAATTTCTACACCCAAAACTAATCAAATTTTCCTCTCCTTACACTGCCTGCATCTAATTTAAGGAAATGAGGGAGTTTGGAAATCCTTTAATATGTCCAGCATATATATGGCTATTGATTTAGGTGAGCTCCAAAAACCAAAGGGGTTTCTGCAGGAGTTTGCAACAGGTCAGAGTTTATGGGAAAAGCACATCAGCACCACTTCAGAAAAATAATCTTTACTTGCAATACAGCAGGCAAAATGGCAGTAATTAGCATTTGCTAATATACAACTATTTCCCCTGAAGCTGGGAGATTTCTATGTTGGTTGTGTTTTTCTGTGGTTCATCTGGGCCACGCTAACACACCAATTACTAAAGTCTCTATTCTGGCAGAGAATTATTATTTTTGAGCCTACCAGCATGTTTTGCTGTGGATAAAGCATATGTTGCAGTTGGTGTTCTTCTTCCTCCTTCTTGCTTTGGGATGTTTTGGTGCCCTTTCTGGGATCTGTGCTGGACACGCTGAAGGGCGTAGACAGAAGGAGCCTGAAGTACAGAGGAACCTTGGTGCAATTGATGAGTTTCAAACTCTGAGTCATCACCGAATCTGTCAAAACCTGGGGGAGAAATGATTCAGAACTGGTCAGTTTTAACTCCCTGGAGAGGTTTGTGCTGGTCTGGGCACTGAGCACCAGGGGGAATCTGAAGGACTTTACCCCGAAAGCAACCCAGTATTTTTTTACTTGTGTTTTTCAACATTTCTTGAGTGAAAAACCAAAATGCAAATATTGTAATAAAGTCTAAAAGCCTTTGAATGTCAAGGGTCAAAGAAACTGGAGTGACTCATTCTGCTATTGGACCTTCATGTCCTGAAAATCAGAACTTACTCTTCTACTTACAAACTCCTCTATGAAAAAAAGAGAAAGTTGTATAAAATAAGCATTGTCTGAACTCAGCTTTGCTTATTCCTGGCTAATAAGTACTGGTAGTACTTTTTTTTCTTTCCTATCTTGTTATGTGCAATATAGAAAATGAGGCTGCTGGTGATAAAGATGCATTTTCAAAGCCATGTGCACACAGCTCTGAATTCTCATAGCAGTACAAACCAGCTGAATGCATCAGTGTGGGAAATACTTACTCCTAACAGAGGCTTAGCGGGAAGGAGATCACTTGCCACTGAATAAAACACCATTCCTCTGTCGTGACCCATCTCTACTTTTAACCTGAGGGTAAAGAACCAGAGCTGGTCAGAGCCCTGTCTCCAGGCTGGCCCATCCCCTGTGGGTACCAGGGGATCAGCAAGATGGTACTCACAGAGGGTGCCTCAGGAAACCTTCCAAGTCCACTCGTAACGTTGGAGCTTCATAGCCCTGCCCGCGATGCACCTTGTTAGGCACCTTCCTTGCAAGCTGGCAACAAAATGAAAAGGGAAGTTATGTATAAAATGATAGCACGAAAACTTGAAATGCTACTTTTAGCCCAAGAGGCTGTTTGCCAAGCAGAATCCTATTTTGGCTCGTTTGTAAGACATGATGGAACAGCAAGAGCCAAGCAGTAGGTGAACTCTGAAGGGCTGTGGGTAGTACAGATGCAGGGCAGGTTTAGATCAGATGTTAGGATGTTCTTCACTCTGAGGGCAGCGAGGCACAGGCACAGGTTGCCCAGAGAAGCTGTCGATGCCCCATCCCTGGAAGTGTTCAAGGCCAGGCTGGATGGGGCATGGACCAACCTGGTCCAATGGAAGGTGTCCCTGCCCATGGCAGGGGGTTTTAGAACTAAATGGCCTTTAAGGTCCCTTCCAAACCATTCTAGAATTCTGTGACTCTACATTTCTTCCCTCAGGAATCAGGAATATTAGGGTTGTTTTTGTTAAATATTGTATTATTATTCATTAATTTCACCTTGTACCTTTGCAACAATCCCTATCAGAGAATTGCTGAGCCATTCATAAAACACTGCTCAAACCTCACACCAGCCTGTGAGCTGCACTTGCAGTTGTTGAAGAGGAAGTTTCCCAGAGGAGAGATATGCTGTCCAAATTCACACAGGAAGGTGGATGCAGAGCCAGGAACAGGACTCAGCAGTCCTGAGCCTCATTCCCATTGTTAACTATTGTTATCAATAAAACCTGATGTTGTGATACCATTTCAAATCCTGGGCTTTTGTCTGGGGTCTGCTGCCCCAGACAATACAAGAAGATGGTGACATTCCCACCCCAGAATGCTTCCAAGCTAAAAGACAAATGCAACAGATGAACAACCCTGGCTAAGGAAGGATGTACAGGGTAGCAGGAACAGGACTGTTTATACAGACTGGCCAGGTACACAGCAGCCTGTACATAAATTACAGGAAGGGAAACGATTATTTCCCAGTCACCTTTAGCCTTGCTGTGACACTCGGTTTACCTTGTCGTCCAGGCTCATGAAGCCCAGCAGCAGCCCCTCACACCGCACCTCAGCCGCGGTCTCTGGGAGGACGAGCGGGGTGAAGGAGATGTGAACGTCGCTGCTGCCACCTCCTGGAACCACCTACGGCCGGGAGAGAAGCGCTTAGTGCAGGGAACTGCCTGGGATTGCACAAGCACCCTCAGCACTCAGCTGCCAAAACTGAGTTGCACAAGCAGCGTGAAATCCCCTGGGCATGGGCTACGCTCAGGCTCACGCTAAAATGCCAACATGTGACAGCAAAACTGGCAATTATTTCAGCTGCAAATGTCAGTGTAAGCACTCTTTAGCATCAACAGTTTAAGCACAGTCACACACCAACTCTCTAAGTATACAAACATATGTACATAACTGTTTGTTTTTAAAAATACCCAGTTCTGCCCACTCTTACTCCATGGCTACCTCAGGTGAGTCTCTCACAACTTACAATACAAGAAACACTTTTTGTAGAGTTACAACTGTGAACTAAGAGTATTTTACAGTTCAGTTTAGTCTTGACTATTTTTTAATTTTACAGGACAGCAGGGAATGTAATCAAATGCACTAGCCAGCTGCAGTGGATTTTCTGAGACTTACAGGTTGACTAGATTCTGCTTTCTTTAGATGCATTGCACGGGTTTTGGTTAAATCCTGATACTGCTGCTGGCTACATCTAGGAGGTGCTTCCACAGGGAGACACTTGTTTGTCTGACCTGCCTCAGCCTCTATCACCCCAGAGCTGACTGCAGATTCATTTCTCTGAGATGCCATTTCTGTCATTATTTCTTTCATGTAATCTTTAGCTCATTCTAGCTTGTAACTGAAACTCTTTGGCAAAGAAAATTACTAATATTTAAAATTAAAATTGACACACTGATGTTTTGGGCAACCCTGTCACTCACAGTAAGGTCTTTCCAGTGCTGTTTTTGCTCTGTGATATTCCTAAGGGATCGTGACACTGTGGCCTGTGTTTGCACCAATTATTCCAATTATTTCTGAAGCAATGTGGGTTACAACAGTTTATCCAAAGGAGTTGTCTGTGGAGCACCCCTTTCCTAGCAGCCTGATCTCCAGCTCTGCCACATCTCCTTAGCAAGTCTACCCTAGCTAAATAGCATGTTTCCAAAGCTTCAGGCTGGAATGATCCCACATTTCACCAAGGGAATCCAAGTGACAAGACCAGACTCTGGAAAGTCCAGTACAACTGAACACTTAACTCCAGTCATCAGTTCACTGTTCCAATGTAGGTAGGACACTTCCTGTTGACTTTGAAAACTGTTCTCATGATCATCTTGAAGACCCCAAAGCCTTCCAGCCTCCTGATTTACTGTTCAGTAGAGTCTACCTCAAACCAAACTCAAAGCTACCTCCTTATTCTCTGTCTCCACAGTTCTGCAGAAAATGTGCTAAATACAAGCACAAAGAAAATGTAAAAGCTTACTATCTGTCTTGGAGTAATGGAGTAGGGGCTGTCTGCAGGAACCCCTTGGTGAGGTCGCAGAAGTACAGAGACAATTTTCTCTGTTGTAGGCTCCTGACTGCTGATTTCCTTCTCTCTGCTATCAGAGCCTGGAGGCTGCAGGGACACATGGGTGGGGAATGGTTAAAACTGTTACATTGCAGCGGAGGAATGCGAGTGATGTGCACGGGGAACTGCTGCACTGGTCAGTGAGTATGGCCAGCTCCAGTTTCTTTGTTTCTGGCACAAAGGCTGGACATGTGTCCTGTACATTAATTTTCTCTTGCACAAAGTAGCTCTCCTGAAATTGCTCTTGGATTCCTTGCAAAAATGTGCATGCTTGGGTCCTGCAGAGGAGCACCCAACCATGACACCTCTGGCCATTAAACAAACCAGCACTCCAGGGCAATAATGTTCCCTTAGTGCACAAGGAAGGTTAGAGATGTGTTCAAAACAACTATGCCTTCTGAGCTGAAATGGAGCAAATGTGACTTTAGTATTTTTTCTGTAAAGCTGTCACCAGAGAAATATGTATGTTCTGGGGGATACCATTTCCCTGTCACTCCCAGCCCTTCAAGACAGTAAATTGCCACATTATAATAAAACTTCACGTGTAATAGATGTAACCATATTCTAACAGAGTAACAGAACCAATCTAATTTTAGCACTGGGACAAATACCTCCATATCATTAGCTGCAATTTGAAATGTAGAGGTTAGATTCTGCTCCCTGACTACAGCACGTGTTGACACCATAAAGCACCCATGAGAAAAACAGACCCAAATTAAGGAGCTTTTGTTATGGTAATTCTTTCACATAATAATGGCATTCGTTTGTCAAGGACAGTATTTTAAAAAGTATCTCTTCAGCTTCTCTAACAATTTTATGGAGAGCTAATTGCTTACAGCTCATTCTGGAAACAGATTGCTGATCTCCACAGCCACCTACCCACATATTGCGTTTTCGACTGCGAGAGGAGCTGACGTTTCTTTTAACAATCCAGCTCTTAGTTACAAGTTATATCTCCTGTTATTGTTTTCAACCCTTCGTGCCAAAAAACTCATCATGTATCTCAGCAGCAGTGTAAGAAATAGCCTAACAGCTGACCTCATCCGTGGTTTGGGAAGCTGGATAAATGCTTCCACAGGGAATGGCAGTTTGATCCAACTTTAGCACGATCTCTGACTCCGAGGTGCTACCACTTGATGCAGCCTCATTTCCATCCACGTCCTGAGGAGGAAAAGGGTCTTCAAAGAGCATCAACAGGTCCACCAGCTTTTCATCATCTTCCTCTTGGTTGTAAACTTCCAAGTCCAGGCGGATGTCTGAATTGGAAAGGAGAAAGGACAACAACTGCTGGTCAGTGAGAGGACTCACAGCTTTGTTGGTACCAGAGAATCAAGCAACAAATTTATGTCTGGCAACTGGATTTGTATTAAAGCATATCTGAAGGTTACCATGTTTCCTGTAAACTAAAATCATTGAAGCTCTTCCTACAGCTTGGACACTTTCTAGGTCCTAAACTATACTTGTATTAACATTAAAATAAATTATGAGTTATTTTGTTTAAGCAAATGTGTTTGGTGGCATTCAGAAAAAAAATAAAAATGGTGATTAACTTTGCTCTGAAAACCTTAGAATTTCACTCAAAGCTAAAAAGACTAAATACAGAAGGGCCAGATGATGCCACTAAGAAGCTGGTAGCACATCTGATTGACCAGAGTTAATGTTGTGAGAGATTTATAAAAACAGGATGGCAAATCCTGAGTTCCCACCATTTCAAAGAGGGAAAACCCAGCCACCTCAGGATAGGATGCAGCTCCATAATAACAACACACTGAGTCACTCTCTTATACACTATTACTATTTTCACAAAAAACATCTTGATTAGGCAACAAGTAGGCCTGTTAATTAACATGTTAATGGGTTCTTCTATATTTATTCTCATAAGGAATGCAACGAAAGTGTCAAGGTTTGCTGAACAAAAGTCATTCCTACCGAAGGGAGTGGGGTTGTTGAGCCGGACCCTCCGAAAGACAGGAGACCCTCCCGAGACATGAGTGCCAAACCTGGGGGGAGAACCTTGTTATCAGTACATGCAGAGAACAAAAGTGTCTGAAATCACTAAAGAGTTGTTTAAAAGTGGAAACAAACCTGGCTACACTGGCAGCCTGTTAAAAATGGCTCTCAGGTAAAGCATGCCCTACACTGTGAAGTACAATATTGTTTTATTTCACCAGCCTCTTTTTTTGCCTTTTTTTTTTTTATAGTTGTCTCAAATGTTTCAGGGTAACCACGTGCAGTGCCATGGTCCCCATGAACTGACTCTTACCCCTCACCCAGAAGTGCCATTGCAACTGCAATCACAAGGCTTAAACCTTCCCCTGCCCCTGTTTACCTTGGGGCTGCATTTCTCCTGGTCCAGGTAAAGGGCCAGGGAGAAATGAGCTGCAGATGATGAGAACTGATCATAAGAAATGATGAGAAACTATGAGTTCCCACCTCAACAGAGTCAGATGAAGCTGGACTGGGTGAAATTCTACAACTGCAAGCCCAGGACAGTGGTTGCTGGCAAACCTGAGCAAGCTTGTATGCAGAGTATTTTCTAATTATGCTGGCAGAGACAAATGTATTGGTGTTCTAGAAGCAGATACTCTACTCTGACAGCATTTTGCTGACCTTCTCATTATATCACAACAAGATGGAACAGGTGTGTATGTTGGCTGTAGTCCAATGGTATTTAATTCTCTGATTCCCCTGACAGTATTTTGCACTGTACCTGATAATGGGTGACTCTGTTTGCGGTCCTGTCATCTGCAGGAAGATTGGACAGTCTTTCACAGTCATTTGCATAGGAATTAATTTAGGTGGTAAGTCTCCCACCTATTAAAGAATAATTTTTTTCTATTAGAATCGAGATAAAACCTTAGTTCTATGTGTTACAAGCTTATGTTTTGAAAACTGATTGGATTTTCGAAAATTTTGGTTTCTTTTGACAGCATCTAATTCATATGCTAACAACAACTCTTCTCAGCAGGAGAATGCAATACCTCATGCATTTATCAGCTTTCCTGCTGCTTTTCCATACAACACAATGTATTGTATTGGTAGAGCAGAGCAGTGCACTGGCCAGCTCCCAAACAGATGTTATAAATCAAAACTGCTCCAGTCATCTTAAAGGCACATGAAAACACCCCAAGGGATAAACATGTTACCCCAAAACTAAACTGGAAGAGCAAACAATTGTTCCTTAGCCATCATTGCAGGTAGTGGCATAACAATATCGACCCTGAATTTTTACAGAAGTCCTGAAAACCTGGAAAAGTAATTCTAACAGAAAGGAAGCTGGGAAATATAATTGGTGTAAAATCTGCCATAGCAATACTTCACTTGAAACCAAAACCCCACCTACCTTACAGACAAGATTGTCCTGGTACTCTCCCCACATGTTGTTGTAAGCTGCTATTTCTATGCTGAGCTGCTGGAAGGGTCTCAGAGTTCCCATGGAAGGTTGTATATGGAAAGCTACTCCCCTCCCCTGAGACAGCACTGCTGCTTCAAACTCTGAAGAAGCACAGCAAAGAAGCATTGGATGAATTTTGAAGAAATGGAACAAAGTCACTGTTTCAAAGAATATACAGGACCATGGTTTTAGCTGGTGTTAATCAGCTTAACCTCACTGGCTTCAAAAAAAACCTGGGGTCATTTACACAACTCACATTTATACCACTTTTCCCTTCTGCAGTGGGCCTTATTCTATTTTTTTGAGGGTTTGTTCTTGCCTGGAATATTTTATAGCAGGACTCCCTTCCAACAATCTGATCCAGGACTCTCTGGGATATGCAAGGCACTAATTGGTTACATGAAAACACACCTTCAATTTGAGAAAAATGGGCTGGGATTTGTGTTGACTGGTTAATGTCCTATCAGCAGCTGCCTGTTTACCTCTGTGTGCTCTTCCACACAAAGAAAGAATTACAAAGAGCAAAACCTTTCCACATTCTGAGTCACCTAAAGCCCTGCATGGAATCTGTCAGAACAGCATTCTCCTAATCTTAAGCACTAATTCAACAGCTGAAAAGCTCTGTCTGTGTAACAGATACCAAACACTATGGCAAGGTACCAATATGTGCAAGTTTTATTTTGGATACAGAAGACACATCCACACTTCATAGCATTTCGCTCCCATTTCCCCCCTCCCTGAGTCTCTTGTGGCTCCAAATATTATCATTTTTCAGTACAACACGTCAGAAATGACAGATGGGCTGTGCTGCAGCTTTCCACAGTGGAGAGGGTATATTAAAGGGTTTGGGGGAGGAAAGTGGTACTGGAAAACTGTGCAGGAGAGAAACAGCCAAACATTCTGCATGTCATCCATACCATGTGCTGGAAGTGAACTATCACCAGAATCACCATCTTTGTTTCAGACTGTTGTTTTCAAGAAAAAGAAGATGAATGACAGAGAGAAAGAAAGGGAGGGGGAGAGAGAAAAAGAAGCAGAGAGGGAAGACAGAGATTGACCTAATGGTTATAAAATGTGGGCTTTCAAACTCAAAAATGAACTGAAGAACTAAGTAATTCAACAGTTTGGACTTCAGCAGATACTCCAACAATGGAATAAGGTGCCTGACTGGCACTGTTAGTGCTGAATGTGGTAGTCAGTTGGCTTTTACCTTCTCTCCACAGAAGGAATTAACAGTTGTTCTCATACCTGACTGTGCTTTTCTGGCTGCATGTTTTGTGACAGGCCCTCTTCTTTTCACCAGGTAGCTTGAGGAGCTTGAAAAAAAAAAAATCTGATTTCAGGTTTAATCCAGACCTAAATTAGCATCTGAGTCATTATGCAGAAAAGCAAGACTTACAGGCAGGTTCCTTGTTCAGGAGTTGGTAAAGAGGCAGTAAAATACTCAACTTCCAGTGTGAATGGAGCACTGATTCCAGTGGGATTGGTAAGAATCAGCTGACGCTTTACTACATCTCTGGATGCAACTTCAGACCCAAAGTCCAAAAGAAGGTCACACGGGCTTTGTGACATTTGTCTTTCATCACTGCCAGAAAAAAATAACATTGGTACTTAAAGATGGGTCTTATTTTCTTATGGCACAGACAATTTCAGTAGATTTTAAAACGTGCAACATGCATTATGTAGTTTTGATGCCCAGTGTAAAAGGACCATGAAGCCTATGATTTTTGTCATCAGCATTTTCTGCTTTTCATTTTTTCATTTCTATCCATGTAAGGATTTATTTTGGGTAAAAATTTTATCATATATAGCATGCAAACCTACCAAATTAAAGCCACCTTTACTTACATAAAAAGATATAAAGATGAGCATGTTTCAAAACACAGTAATCATGCTACATGTCAGAAAAATAAAATAAAAATCAGTCAGATATACCTGGCAACTCCACTGTCACAAGGTACTGAGTAGATGACCTGTAATCCCTTCACTTCTCCAGAAATGCTCAGAAAAAGGGGTTCAACCATGTCTTCTATGCTACAGGAAAGGGCGAGGTCTTTCAGCTCACCCTGAAAAGCAAAGAATCAAGTTTCCTTGTGAATGAAGCAAATATCACAGAGGAAAGGCAGCCTCATTAGGAAATTTATTTTAAAAACATGTATAAACTTCCCTGGATTAAAAGCAGAACAATAGAATTGTGAGAAGTTTCACTGAATTGTTTATGGTGCATTTTTTTGCCAGCATTGGAGTTGCTTGGAAAGCAGTACTGAGGTAAAAACTTATGGCTGTTTCTTGGCTTTGTACCCACATCAGTCTGCAAGCCTAAAACTCCTCCATTAGTGACTTTTGACACAATCCCTATACTGCAAGTGTTGAATCATAGAATCATTTAGGTTGGAAAAGAGCTCTAAGATCACTGAGCCCAGCCATCAACCCAGCACTGCCAAGGCCACCACTAAACCACGTCCCCAAATGTCACATCTACATATCTTTTAAATACTATCTCTGATAGTACTGAATACCTACTTTTAAGCAAATAGATGAAACTTAGGTCTCTAGTGACTGTAATGGGAACTAAGACACCATACCTATAGGAAGCTTCATGTAGTTGCATTAACTCAGTTGTTTGAATGCCCCTATAAAGTCTGTGGCTGAATTCCCGAAGTTTGTAAACTCTGCAGTCTACTCCCTATTTTTCAGACTCTAAGTCCCATCAGCCTCTTTTAAGTTTCCAAATATCAAAATGTCACAGGCCCAGTTGCATTCAGAAAACCATATATATAAGCTCTATATGCCAGCCTGCTCCATTTCATTTGGGATAATGTAAAGTGAGTATCTGTGTGCTCCAGGAAAACAGATGAGCACTAAGAGCAATTGAACAGGCATTCAAGAAAGAAAAAAAAACAGGAACAGCTGATAAACAAAGAGGCAGTGTAGAAATTACACACCATGTGCACTGCTTTAATTCTTGCCTTCAAACCATGGTACCTCTAAAGCAAACCAATGTGGTTTTGTACAGAAATTGTTCCCTTCCGCCAGACGGAGGTGAGATGAAAAAGCCAGTGTTGCTGTTTTGATAAAACTGTGCCCCAGTTTCTAACCTTACCACGATGCTGGCTGACAGCTCTATGCAGAATTCTTTTTCCTCATTTGGGCCCAAGGTGCCACTGGCTGGGGAGACAGTGATGGAGCAGGAAACTGCCTGGCTTCCAATGAGCTGCCAAACAGAAAGGACAGACTTTCAGACTAATGCTGATTCTCTCAGATTGTCTCTTCACATCAAGACCAAGTTATTCTCAGGTTTAGGACACTTCCAGGTAGCAACACCTACAGTTTGTCAAGACTTGCATTACAATTCCCCATGGGTGATAAGATCCTCATGCCTACATTCATTTCCAAATGACTTTCAGGTGCCAAGCTGAGGCTTCTGGGCTGGGAGCAGGGTCTCTGTCCTCCCTCTCACAGTCACAAACCTTTCCAGGGTGAAGCCAACCTATCTGATATTGGAGCAGGACCCAAGAGGTGCCCCATCTTTCTCCAGTCTATAGGTGAAAGAGAGACAATCCTGGTGTTGGCACCTTCCCTAAGTGCCCAACTGCAAATGGCATGAATCCAGGGATTCCACTCAGTTGCTCATACATGCACAGAGATATGAGGAAAAATGCTGTAGATATTCTTTCTAGGCTCCAGATGTTCCAAAGTGTTTTCCTATAGGTCCTATAGGATCCACATGCTCTGTTAGGATCCTTGGGCACCAGAGGTCTTCTTGGATGGCTTTGAGTGCTTTTACGTAGGCAACTGAGCTGAATCCCACATGTCAGAGTAGATCTGAGTGACCAAGGCACTGACAAATTTCCACTGACTGAAAAGAGAGTTCAGACCACAGCTTACACACTGACACTAAATGTAGGGCTCCCAGTCTGTAATCTGAATCCCACCCAGAATGTGAAATTAAAGCAAAATTCAGACACAATTCAAAAGCACTATAGTTTCTTTGTTCTACTTAATTAAATGCAAACCCTACCCTGCCATGGGACTTAGCCTAATATTCTGGTAGCTTATAGCCTGTGATCCCTCACATCTGCCCACCCATTCTCCCAGGGATGGTCCACAGACAGTAAGAACATATTGCCATCAACTGGTAGTTAATTTTTTCATAAAGGTTGGTGTCGAGTTGAAGTTCTGCAAACAGCAATCACTGCTCAAAAGATACATCAGAAAAGCTTTTAAGAATAGTTGTTATTTGTATTTCTATAACATTGCCATTTCTATCCCTGCTGTATGCTTCATCCATCAGAAGGGCATTTACCTTTCCCCATAAGTATTTTGCTGGCAGCAGTGTCTGGTTAAAAAGTTTACTGGTTGCTTTGGCAGGAACTCCAGTATAAATTTCAGGGAATACTAGATGACTAGATATCAGGCACGCTTTGGGGGTCTGAACTTCAACAAAAACAGGAAGATAACTGGAAATAAACACACAGATGGTCTATTGTTATCGTTAATGAAATGTGCTAGACATACAACAGCATGCTGGGAAGAATGATGATAATGTTTATTTAGCAATATTAGCAATTTGGTAGTTCATTGATAGGTTAAACAACCCCACTCTGAGTCCACAGTTTTTCTTTCTAGAAGAGAAAAACTATGTAAAGTGAAAACTCACATGTGAATCCCAGGAAAAACAAAACAGAATGCTGCTTTTTCCCTTACCTTCCTTTTCCATTTTCTACCTCTAGTTCCAATACTGTCTGGAGACGCTGGCACCGCCGTGATGTGAACTGAACTGACACTCTGCATACACCCAAAGGAGGTATTTCTCCAGCTGATGGTTGGATGGTAAAGGAAGATATCTGGGAGAGGAGAGAGGAAACAGGAAAATTTTGATATCTGCAAAGCAAGGGTAAAATGGTGAAGCCACACAATCTAATTAGGGCTTGCATGTGTCTAGTTTTCCCTCAGACATGTCTTTTCTCTCTGCCCCTCAAGTCCCACCTGGGTTGGTGTCAGGGAGCACAGTGCCAGCTTTGTGAAAACCTGGCTACACAAGGAGGCAGGACTTTGCTTCTGAGAGAAGGGCAGCCACAGCCATGGGCATAACAGGGTTGGCTGTGCATGGCCTGAGAGGGAATGTGGAGGAGAAGCAGTTGGCCTCAGCTGCAGTGTCTGCTCCCAAACAGCAGCAAGGTGCCACAAGTTGGAGAGATTCTTGGACAGAAGGGTGAGGAAGGAGGGTTGGAAGAGTTGAAACAGGAAGAGCATCAGTGTGGGGTGGGGGCTGTGATTCTTGTCTCAGATGTTGATGTGGGTGTGTGGGAGGAGTGTTTAGCAGCCTCAGTTCCTCTAAAGCCTTAACCTCTTAGCAATTACTGTCATACAGGAAATACTCTGTGTCTCTTTGGATCAGGCTGGCAGGGGATTTGTAATAAATGGAAATAGTGAAAAATCGTAAAGAAGCATTTAACCTCAAAAGAACTCACGTACTCATGAAACTGTTCAGGACCAGTTTCAGAAGAAGTCACAAAAATTAAAATTTCTGATGGCTGGAATGAATATTGCAACTCCTAAGCAGAAGGAAAAGAACAGCTAAAGAGGGAACACAGCCAGCTATAGCAGTGACTTACCTCTTCATTCCTTTCTGCCAGACAAACCTGGCTTTCTTGCATCCTCCACTGTGCTGGCACTTGACACATATTTTTAATCTTGAAGGTTCTTAACACACTCTTACCCTGCTTAGTCAAACCAAACCGGAGTGATGGAACATCAATACAAAGAAGTGGACCCTGTGACACCAGGAAACATACATCAGAATGGACACCTCTGCTAAAACAGTGTCATTAAGAAGCATACATTAGCTAAGATTAACATCTGATTTCACAGAATATCAGAAAGCAAATGCATTGTGTGTGATGCAGAAAAATTCTGAGTGTCATGGGAGTATCAACATTGCCTCAATAGCTACTAGAGAGCAAAACTACCTCCTGTTCTTAACTTCTTTAGATTTCTCAAGCCTTTGAGAGGTAAAACAGCTTTACATGGACAATAATCAGTCCCCACAGCTCACCATCCCACAATGCTGAACTGTTCTTTACCTTAAAAGCAGCCTCAACATGCAGCACAACTGGCTCTGGGCATGGCTCAATGTTACACTGCAGGTTATGGCTGATGACACCAGGTCTGCTTCCAGTAATTGCCAGTTCAAATTCACAGCAACTATTTATGTCTAGAAAAGAAAAAAAATCAGGGTGCTGTCTCACCTTTTTTTTTTTTTCAGAAACTACCTGCTCCAAATCTGTTATTGAAGCTCCTGGAACCAAATTAAGTCTCCTGCTGGCTCCAGTGAGCTGGGGATCAGCTATTTATGCAGTTTGCATTATAGTGCTCTGTGACTGTCATAAATTGATACTGTCAATTACTGTCATTTCTGTCATTAACTGATGCTTGTAAGTCACAGAATCTTTACCTATGACACCAGTAGGAGGAAAAACTTCCATGATCTCGGAGGTTGTGATTTTGTCCCACGTGTACTTGATCAGTGATTTGCTGTTGTTCCACAGCTGAAACAAATAAAATCAATGAGACAATTAATGCACCTTAAGCTTTTGTAGCAACAAGTCAATTTGCTGAGAGCACTGATACACTGAAAACTAGGTATTGTGAGTCATCATTTATTTTTATCAGTGGCTCTCTTCACACAGGTGAAGGTGTTTCCTGAAACCTGAAGAAAATCCATTAACCATTCTTTCCAAGAACACTATAATATTTGAAGTTTTTTTAACTTTTTCCCCATTTTTCAAAAATACAACAGGCTTTCTAAACTTAAACTGCAAATCTTTCTTTTGAGTGCAGCCTTTTTTTGCCAAAGGATCCACTTGTGAGGGAGATGGAAGCTCTTGAAATTTTTGGCCTGCTCTTCAGATCTAATCAGACATTAATTTCTTAATTGCAGCAAATAACTTTGTTCTCTGAAGCACAATTATCTCTAAGCATAGTTAGAATTCTAATCTTTTTAAGACTAAAAAAACAATTGGAAACTGCAAGGAATATAATTATATCATCAGCAAGTGGCTTAATTACCTATATCATATGTGTAACTACACTGGACTACTGGAAAGTATGAAATAGCTGCCTTAAATTGAAAAATTCAAGTTCTAGGAAGAGAAAGCATAAAACCAAATGCTGATTAGCAGGATCTCTAAGAAAAAATGGGAAAACCATTAACTGGGAAATGTCTTCCTGCCTGGCTCCTGCTAGCAAGTCTATTTTTCCCAAGTGAGTCTAAGATCAAAAGGATCCCAATCTACACTGAAGAGGATGCTGTGTGAGTGGACAGTTGCAGCAGCAATTTGTCCCAAAATGGCCAGACAGAAATTACCAGAACCTGCAGGAAAGAATAACATGTAGTAAGCTGCAGCATATGTGACTTTTGTAGCTCTTCTCTGCTTGCTGTAGTTCTTTGAATGAACAGTGCCTCCGTTATGAACTAATTTAATCATCCACTGGCTATTCCTCCCAGCAGGAAAACCTTTACACTACAGAAGTGACAAGTAATACTTAGTTAGTGACCCAGAAAAGCACTCAGAATAGTAAAACTCTGTGCTATCAAACTGGAGAGATGAAAAATGAACAAAGGCTGCTGCCTGGAGTGTAGGGCTGAGGGGGTTGGGTAGGGGATTTCGGTGCAGACCCTCCTGGAGCCATGGCCTCCTTTAAAAACATTTCAGGAAAACTAAAATAATACAGACCATCTGATATCTACTAATAAAACCTATGACATCTAGTGACACAAAACACACCGTAACAATGAAGTCAAAAGCAAACAAACCTTAAATGTTTTTCTGAAATTTACACCAATGAAGTTTTCTCCAGGGATAATAATGGCATATGGTTCCAGAAGAAAATGAAATGGTTCTGTCGATCCTTTAACTTCTATTTCCAGTGCTATTACATCCTCTGCTTTGCATTCTGGGATGTTTTGAAGCATCTCCTCTTTTTCTAAACTTTGGGAGAAATATGGTAGAATCATTAAACATCTTAAACTGGTATTAAATTGGATCCTGCCTTTTAGTTGCCAGATGAAAACTGAAAATCATCAAAAGTTTCTCAAGTACAGACTGTCAGTGTGCAATTAGCTCAGCCTGGGGACAATTAAAAACTTCACCATTCTTTAAGGTTGTCCATGAACAAGTATGCATGTCACAGACTGCTGTGACAAACAGTAATAATAGGAAAACCTGGAAAATAAGCAGGTAAAATGACAGTATTATCTTTTTCCAAGAGAGGAAAAGCCAGGAGTAGGCATGTGTTTGAGCATGAGGGAAGGTATCAGAGATGCTCTTTGTACCACAACTAGTTGTGCAGATAAAATTCTTTATATTTATCAATCCATCACCACCAGAAAGAAGAAAAATCCCAGTAACTTAAGGCAATAGCACAGATGAATTTTGGCTACACATCTTACTGGGAGATGCTTCTCAGCTTACCGAGGTGATTCTGGGATGTCCCTCAGTACCATCTGAATCACACTGTGGTAACTCTTCAGCTACACAGATGAAGGAGAAAATGACTTTAATGTCAAGTAATCAGTTATGCTGAGGATTAAAAAAAAGACGGAAAACTAGTCCACATGTAAAGGATGAATGATCATCATTGGAGTACTAAACTCTGATAAACAATATTCAAACTCTAGAGTTACTAAAAGAAAACATGTTTGACTGCAAAATATTAAGCCAGATTCTGATCTCATAGTGTATGGTTCCAAGAAAAATACTCATTTTTGACATGCTTGTTATTATTTCCCTAGTATATTGCATACTATGCACAAGCATCTGCAAAGGCTCCTCAACTTAAGCTCAGTCCTGCTGTACTAATTTAACAGTTTCTTCTAACTGCTCCAGGCTATTTTGCTTAATTGACCATCAATCTGATCTTGAGTAAGAAACAGGACTTTTCCATCATGGGAAGAGAATGCCTTCTGTATTCTAATGGAGGAGGAAAAAAAGGAAACACAGAAGCAGGCCTTAAATCTGTAGGGCTTTGCAAAAGCTTCACTTGTTTGTAGACAGATATTAATTTCAGTGTATACTTTAATTAAATATATATTCAATTAACTAATTAAAGTATTTTTTAAAAGCCAGCTAATTTCTTGTCCATACATATTTAAGGTATTTCTTATGTCTGTCAATCATCACAGCATGGGATATTCCCACTCTTGGGCTTACTTTGGAACAAGTTTCTTTAAACACAGTGAGCTCATGCTCCTTATTTACAGGGACAGAGGAGCAGAAACTAAGAGAACAGTCACTGGCACAGCTGCATTCCAACATCCTTGCAGCCCTCTTTACCCACAGCTGCACACCAGCATTTCTCTGCCAAAGGCTCCTACTATCCCCTTAATTTACCACTCAGCTGTTCACAGGGCCCATTTCGGGCCAAAAAAGCTACAGCTGGAAACAGTTTAAATAATCCCTGTTTGCAAACCAACTTATTTAGGCTGCAGTAGGTATGGGGCACGTCCCCAAAGCAGAAGGGGAAGGGTCAGGAGCTGGTGGAGGAGCTCGTAGAGTGGGGAGGGGGGTAACTTCACCAGCCAGCACAGCTGCAGCTACAAGGATGTGCCCATAGTTTCAGTGTAAAATTAATTGTGTCCAGTCAGTCCCAAAAATGACATGAGATCAGAATCTGTCTCACATTTTGCAGTCAAAACATGTTTTCCTTTAGTAACTTTTTCTACATTTTGAACACTGTTTATCAGAGCATAGTACCAGCTAATTAAATTTAATTTAGAAAAGTTGCACAGCAAGGATTTTATGACTTGCATAAAAAATACACAGCTGGAGTTTGTAGATAGGAAGGAATCACGAGCCATACCTCCTGTGGAGTGTAAGTGAGGATAAACTCATGATCTGCACAGGGAAACAAAACTCCCTGTTCAGGATTTAGGGAGAAGGCTGACTCTGTGTCTTGATTGTCTTCAACCTTCATAAAGTCTGCAGTTCCTTCTGGTATTAATGGTTTCAGATTAGGCTTTCTTATCTGCCAGAAGAAGGGAAGTTCTACAGGGCTGCAAAGAGGTCAATAAACAACAAAAAAGCTATGGTCAACAAATCAGTTATTTTTGAGTAAAATGTTGGGAGAAAATTTCCAGATCCTTTTTCCACGTAGGAAATTCATCTCTTTAGAAAATACAGGGGTTTCACTTACCAGTCTTTGTGAGCTACAAAGCTGATGAGACAGCATAGAGTCAGAATATATAAATTGTACAAAGAACATGCTAATATATGAAAGTAAATTATATAAATGTTTAAGATATGCTAACACTTTCTTGCCTTACTTGACTTGTCATATAATCCAGCTTTTAGGAAACCCTACAAGGATCTGAGATGAACAGGGCTGTTCCTGCTGATACCAGTATGTTTGCCTTGGATCACTAATGATCTACATCTGATTCTGAATTTAATCCAAGTGCAAGATGTGGTCTTTAACATGTCAACAAACACAATGGCTCCAGATAAAATTATAGCCATGGCTCTGCCATACTGTTTGCAATCCAGAAAAGGTTGCTTAACTGGGTTGCTTCAGCAGAAGTGTATTCCATGGAATGTCTTCATGGGTTTGAAAACCTTGACATGATGACCTCAAAAACTTTGCCTTACTAAGAAGGGGAAGGACTCTGGAATTTGAAAGTATCACTGACAAATCTGGACATTTACAATTTCTTGCATCGCTTTCTGTAGCAGAAGAAAGGTTTCTCTTTCCTGCTTCTGTGGGGTTTACTCTCAGCCTGGCCAGCTTTGTTTTACACAAATGCTGACACCAGATGTCCAGGGACTGCTGTGGGGATTATAGCACAGAGAAGATGTGGAAATAGGCACAGTCACATCCTTTGTCAGTTTACAGTGCCCAGTTCACCAAATCACACTTTCTTTACCCAAACATCAGCCTGTTCTGGCATTATGCACCTGTGATTTCCAGGCCACAAAACAAACTGTCAGATATTCACTGTAGCAAGTAGCAATTTACATCAGTGTACCTAAACCCAGCACTGACCTACTCACTGCTTTGATGTCTGCAACCTCTAACTGCTGCCATCATGCAAGAGTGCACTTCTGTTAATATCTGACCAATTTTGAGCAAAATCAGGATGCCACTATGTTCAGTACAATGTAGTTATCCACAGGGACATATTCCTTGACTTCAAATTGAGTTTATATTTCAATCTGCTAGGACTCAATAGGAGGAATCATCTGAGAGTTTTAATACAAATTGATTACATTGGGCTCCCATAATAATTAGTGGAGATCAAGTGGAGTCCAGAATGTATTATGACTTGTTCTGTGGGAGACATCTACAGTCAGAATTGCACCCTTGGAAGTATCTATTTCCCTGCACTATGAAAGGAAAAGAGTCCTTAGCTCAGTAGCACAAGAATATATAGTGGCATTAGATAAATCTCACCTGGATCACCCTGTAAATATTTCCTGCAACCATCCATATTAATGAACCTTTTGGAATTGCAGATTTATTTCTACTGAAGCAAATACATTGACCTTGGCTAATGGCTTCCACAATGTCTGATCCATGCACAACGTTCCTGCTCTTACAAGAGTATCCTTGAACCTTAATTACCAAAGAACTGGAGCAAAAGGAAGCAAAGCTGCTGCCCCAAGTTTATCAAGTGCATGAAAGTTTCTCCAATACAGTCTCACAAATGAGATCCCTATCAGTATGTCCAGACTGCAGAGCATGACTGTAATAGTTGCTACATACGTGGAATTCCTTATAACCAAGCTCTTCTCCTCGCTGGTGTGTGGGTTTGGTCGGTTGAACCGTATGAGATGCTGTGCTGTCACATCAGTAACTTCACCCAGCTCAGGTTTGCTTTCTCCACCCGTGACGAACAAAAGGTCCAGAGCAATCAGCTCTCCAACCCCTTGAAGAAATATTTTATTTACTATCTGCCCATTAACACAGTTCATATCACTCACTGACAGCAAATGCCAGTCAGGGCCATTACTGATTATATCTGGTGTTCCCTCAAGTTTCAGAACTCCAATGTGTTAATTGTACAATGTTTTCCTGATGTTCTTTGTTTATCAACATGTATCAACACAGGCTTTCTCTTCATGAGTTTAGCAGACTTGGATTTTAGGGCCGTGACCTCAGCTCACTTACACCAGCATTGTTTCACTGAAGTGAGCAGGGTGTTTACATGGCTGACAATGTGGCTCCCAGATGATTTGAGCAGTATATTAAAATTAAAATAAGCAGCAAATGCACTATTAAAAAGTCTATATCCAAGACTTTATCACAGGTATATATCCAAAGGAAATACCTGTGATAAAGTGATTCAGTAGACTACAAGTCAAGCTTCCTGTTATAGCACTCACAGTTACATTACAGAACAAACACTAACATTTACAAGAATTTCAACTAATCAGCTAATCCAAAGACTGCCTATCTCTCCTGAATACCCTCATACAAGATGTGCCCCAAATCTTCTTCATTTCTGCACTGTTGCAGCTGTTGTTTTATAGTTTGCCATGTTATCTTACAGATAGAAAAGTAAAAGAAATTATTTGCACCTGGCAAATGTTTGGGTTTTTTTCTGATACTTGGTGACATTTTACATTGGATTTTTGGCTACACTGGGTTAAAAGCTCAGTGCTTTCTGAAACCCATGTATTCCCTGCACTAAGAAAGGAACAGAAATAACAATAATAAAAAAATGCTTAGCATTTAACACCATCAGGGGATACAGTATTAATCCACTGACATAAAATGTTACCATCACTTCAAGCCATCAACCACCACTCACATTATCTGAGTATCTACAGAATATGAATGTGAGCTCTGAAAGGTGCCAGAAACAAACCTGTAACTGTCACATCATTGACTGGACAATTGTCACACAAAAGGGTGTATGTTTGCTGGGAGGCCTCTGGCAAAGAAGGGAAAAAGAGGACCTGAAAGAAAGAAGGGAAATAGGAAAGTCTGTAACTGATTCTCTTGAGGAAGCAATACAATCAGTGTTCACTAAAGGACAGTTTTACTGATTAGTAATTAAATCTTACATTTGCAAAAAACAGTCAGTGTCATTTTTTGCTCACACAAACCCAAATTTGCAAGGTCCAGCCAAGATCATCTAAAATGATCTTGCTTGCTAATGTGTTTGGTAAAGTATAAAAGCTTTCTATAGCACTTAGTACTAACCTCTACTGTTTCACTCTGCCCTGGAATCAGCTCAAAAACAGCAGGCTGGATCCCAAAAGGATCTTCTGTCACAAAATCAACAGTGGCAATAGCCTAAGGTGTTTAAAAAAACTAATAAATTAAATTGATCAGGTTGTTGCTTTTAAAATACAAGGTTACCTAAAACAGGCAGTGGATTACATCACTGTTTAACCTCTTACCATATTTCTTTTCATACACCTCAAAAGAAAGTGGCTTTTGTACACAGTTTAATTAGAAAAAAAATGCTTTATGCTTTATAATGACCTTGGTGAAAGTTGGGGGGAAGGTTCTGTCTCCAAATACAAATGGCAGTGTCAGGAGCCCTAATATTCATGTTCACAGCAGAACAGCTCTGCCTGAGCACAGGGGCTCTGTCTGTTCCTCCATGCTTATGTCACTTTGAGTTGGAGCTGTACAGTTGCAGGAGGGACAAGCTGGCCCATCAGCCCTTTATCCAGCAACAAAAATGCCAATCTGCCTGCAACATCTTATTTTCTTTGTCCCTTTCACCTACACCCTGGTTTGTGATGAGAAGCTAAAGACAGAGCAGGACTGGAGTGAACTACAGGTGCAGCGAGGTCAGTAAGGGACATCTTTGGTGGGGAGGGGGAGGAGATCAGCTCAAGCAATGCTAGGACTGATTGCAATTCTATTTGCTTCAAGGGTAAGGTTAAAGTTCCTTTCCCTAATCTATGCCTCAGTTTACCTCACCCCTGAGCAAGACAACTTCTCCCAGAGGCAAGCCAGAGTAGAGGGTACAGGCAACCAGGGAGATTGGTCTTGAGGATAAATGTGAACTCCTGAAGAAATGGCACAATACAAATGTCTCCAACAAGACCTTAGGACTTCTGTGCTAATATGCCATGAGTAGCTCAAAATGCCTTCACATCAGGGCACTTGTACCACACCATGTCCACTGTTTCCCTTCTAATCACTCACCCCAGGATTAGGAGGTGGCCAGGCTTTCTTTGGCATTAGAGAGAACTTCCCAGTCCTAACGCCCTCATTTCTGCACAGAATTGATGTTACTTTTATTCCTCCAACAAGGCAGGGACCACAGTCTATAATGTGAGGCACTGCAACAAATAACACAGTAAATCAGGCTCCAGAGGCAGTGAAGGCTGCTGATTAAATAACTGTTTACAGACATTACTGCATGTGAATATGCCAGGTTTTACAATTGTAAACCCCCTCAAATTCTTTCCATTTGAAAATTGAACAGTGTGAAGTGTACATTTCTACATTCACTTTACATTTTAATGGTGCTTCCTACTTAAAGATTATTGAATGATAAAAAGTAAGATGATTTTTTAAAAAGCTCAGTATAACAGGTAAGGTGAATTTACAAAAAAATCAAAGCAAATTTTTGCAAAAGTAATCCTGGTTGGTACAGTTGAGGTCAGATATCTGAGAGGTGCAGGTATGTCATATCCATATATAATTAACATCACATTCCATGAATATTAATTAATAGCATCAAATAGTTATCATTAAATCATAATTCCATAATATTTAGGATTAGTAATTACAGTTGTAGTAGTAATTACACAAACCCAGACGAGAGGCTTCTACTCACTTCTCTAATAGAGTGAAAAGAAAAGAGCTTAATGAATAATTGAGGAAAAAATTGACAGGATTGCATTTTAATAACTAATAAATCTACGATGAGTGAAAATGAGATAGATATCAAAATGCAGAAACTGCACTGCCAATTTTTTCCACATTTGTTTTGTGACATGAAATTGAAGACAGTCAAATAAAAAACCCCACCTTTAGAAAAATTTAAGATTTGGACAATACTGACATGTTAATACTGGAAGTGATACTTTAGCTTGGATTGGGATCACAAGAGGTTCCGATGATTGAGTTTCCACTAATATATGATCTTCATAATCTCCCAGATATTCAGGAATAAATTGGACTGTATACTGGCATGACATCCCAGGAGCAATCATTCCTCCCTTTCCTGGGAATTTTCCTTTGGGGGGGGGGGAAATAGCAAGGAATTAAAAAAAATTAAAACCTCCTGAAGTTGGCACTTGTATTTACAATCACATCTCCCTCTGGAAAGGTGCCTGTAAACTTCCCCCACCTATTGCCTAAAAGTCCAGCTGATAAAAAAATGAGCACAAGAGGCCTGGCAGTGCAATCTGTGGACGTGCACATCCTCCACAGAACTCAAGATGTTTTTTGCCTGAAATATGCTTCTCACAACGAGCAGAAACATGGAGACATTACACAGTTTTCCTTTGCCACAAGACAAAAATGCCTTACATGGAGGCATCGAACTTCTAAATATTCCTCCAATTCCTGGGATACCACCATCTAATACCTCTTTAGGCAATCTATCCCAGTGCCTGGCTATCCTATTGTAGGAAAGATATTTTTCTTAACTTTCCTCTAACCTATCCTTCCTTGCTACAACTGAAGTGTGTTATTTCTTGCCCTCTCCCGCTAATTTTTTCAGTGGAAACTAAGTCTGTTCCTAGATGAACTTTGAATAAGACTCCATGTAGGTATTCCATGGATACATTTCAAGCTAACATCAAACACTTCTTTTTAGTGTTCTTGAATTCCTCATTAGACCATTTGAATCTGCTTATCACTTGCATGGGAATGTCATAAGTCAGCCTTCAGTTTCTAAAGAACTGAGCACTATGGAAAACAGAATCAAACAGAGCATCTGTGAAAAATCCTTGTTCAAGCAGATAAATTAGATTTTTTTATGTGTTAACATCTTATAAGCAGAAAAAGAACCCTTACCTGGCAAAATGAAAAATGCTGAAGTAGAGGGGGGGATAAGTCTCATATACTGACTTGTTGAAGTGATATTCTGTAGCTCTATGGTCACCTTCATTTAAAAAGGAAATAAAAATGCTCCATTGTATTTATCCTCACTCATTAGGTAGGAGTAACTACTTCATCATCACAACCAACCCAAAACATCTCAGTTTATTCAATAAAGGCTGAATCAGATACTAACAAAAAAAGCAGAGACTGAAAAAGGTCCATTTAGTTTTCACTGGTTTGTGTCAGTGGCATGGAAGTTAAAGGGTCACAAATTCAATATCAGGAAGAAACTCTGACTTTTGTTAAAATTCAGAAAGCCAAAAGATTAGGTGAAATACGTAGATCCAGATAGGACATAATACTTCTCAGTGGTAGAATTAACTCTCTACAAAGAAGTTCTCACCTCATAGACCAGCCCAACTTCATCATAGGAAAACAGAACAGTAGGTGGATTGGCAAGAAACACGGGAACAAATGACGTATCACTGAAAGATAAAAAAAAAAGGAGACATTCTCTTACTGCCTCATTCTCTAAATACTGATAAAATGAGAAATTGCAAAATGTATCCTTTGGCAAAAACAAAATGTCATACAGACATACTGTGTTTCCTAAGAGACTATATAAAACATTTAGCTCAGAATATCTATGTGTAAATCCACAGTAATTCTATAGTGGAGCTGTGTGTGCTCGAGCTCAGAATCCAGACTGTAGATCATGCATACCCTTTGGCATCTTCTGCTTTTCTTGTGGCTATGATTTGGTCCACTTTTTCTTGAGAAATGACCAGAGATTTGCCTCCATGAAGAGTATTTAGTGGGAAAAAGCGTGGGTTCTTCAAGTAATTCTGCGTTTTCTCAAGTCTGGTCAGGTCCTCACTTACTCCCTCTGCTTGGAACTTACTCTCTCTCCAGGCTGGTTTCCGTGAGGTTTTAGTTTTCTTTGAAAAACAAAGAGATCATGGTGCAAAATTAAACATGGCAATTTGGAGGATGATGAAAAAGGTGATTTGTACGTGTCTAATTAAAGCTATGCAGCAATAAAAATTGATATATAAATAAGGTATTTCTCATTTTTTTATCAGATCAAATACATTAAGTATTGGAGCCAAGCAAACAATGGATTGATATTCACCCTTTGTTACAGGAACAGCAACAAGCCTTACAGTTCTGACAGACTACAACAAATACACCTGTAAAATGTACCTTACTTATTTTTTTAGCATAGTGGGTGGAGTCTGGAGTTGAGGGCAGAGTTGAAGACATACTTGTCACACTAGGAGATAAGTACACAACGTGATCCAGTGGAAAAGGGACACGCTGCTTACAAATAAATGTCTCTTTCAAGTATCCAGGTTCTGATTTTCCTGTAGTTCAAATAAAAAAATTAATTCTACAAGAGAAAAACATGAATGATAAACACTTGGTCTAAGCATAGCTGCATGAATTTATTTTAAGTCTTGTTGATGGTAAAAATACACTTCAAATCTTCTAGAATTTAATTTACATTTATAATTTATTTTGCACATGAAAAGCTTAGGGCTTTAATAAGAAAGCTTTTAGAAATACTAATTAAACAAGCTATATATGAAGAAAGTTAAATTACTCCCAGAAAGTTATGTTAACCTTACAAGTGAGTGGGACTTAGAATGCCCTGTTCAGTTTACAAAAAGATCTATATGATGGACTTATGACAGTCAGAAAACTGACAAAAATAGGATGCACCATCTAGTCCCATGTTCCTATAGCTGGACAACAAAACTGACACCTCAGAGGAAACTCTGGGATGTGAGATTTTTAGCTTTGTTTGGAAATACAGTGGAAAAAAAAGGACACCAAATCTTGGAATTTCTGATTCAGCTGATAACTTGGAAATGTTTGTTTTGATTAAATGATACTAAAACCTTTTGCTCACATGAATAAAAGAAGTCAAGAAATCTTGACATTGTCCAAAAGGTTTTTCTTACTGATCTTACTGATCTTGATTAGCAAATAAAACTGATATATTTCCAGAACTGGAAAATTTTAAACCCAAAATAAAGAATACAATTTTATTTCACTGAAAATAGTTTTTACTTTAGTGTAACCACTTTCCTTCTCTGTATACAAGATGTAGCTGCAGCTTTGTGCTAATGAAATCGGATAGAGGCAGGACACTCACTAATATAGTTTTTGTGTCAGATGGAAAGAACTGTAAACAAATCTGCAACCACCATCAAATATCATATTTAAGCACATTTATACTCAATAATTTTGAATTTATCAATTTTATTTTGAGAATGTGCCTTCAGTGGAATTTTATGCTTAAATTACTGGAGTCCCTTCTGCTTTGGCAGAAACAAAAAAAATATTAAAAATATAAAATATACTCAGGTCTGCTACATCCTCCAATGCTTCAATTATAGAGTGTTCTAAAAAGTCTACATTTCTTTCTGCTTTAAAAGTTACCTTTTGGTGCTTTAGTAAGAGGTAATTTCTCAGTGATGTAATCATCAGGGCAGATTAAATTATTTTTTCTGAGAAGTTCATTATCCAAAATCTGCCTAAAAGAGGATGCCACTGCAACAGTAAAACAAACAATCAAAAGTCAATCAAAAAAAGCAAAATATTAGCCCCTTAAGATGCACTACCTTGATCTGTCCAAAGTAATGTTGTTTTTATAATTCATCCCTGTCAGGTAATATTTTTGGATAGACAAATAGTCTGGTATTTTAATCCCAAGACTTGGAAATGCATCTCCATGATTCTAACTTCAGTTCAAACCCAGCTAAGCACCCATTGGAGAAGCATTTAATCTCTGTTTGCTGCTGCAATACACCAAGGTGTGTATGCTTGTACTGTTTAGGTGGTAACCCATCAATCCATAATTTAATACCCCGAAAATGACCTGGTTGTTTAGTTTCTCAGTGTTAGACAAATGTTACTCCACTTGAATCTCTGCACAAAATCCTTCAGAGTTGCTCTGTTAATGTAAAGCCAACCCCAAGTTGGTTTCCAGGTACCCTAAGCACGTACCGGGGAGAGACATTCCAGAATCCTCACCTGGTGGGAGTCCCATTTCGTGGAAATCTTCCCCTGCCTCTGCCTTCATCTGGTTTAGGATTCTTTCATCTTCAGCTTTTGCTTGGATCTGGGCCTGAACGATCTTCCTTTCTGCTTTGTCAGCTTCTGTCAGTCGGCTCTTATACTCGGCAAGGAGCTGCCACGGGCATGGGTGAACACAGAGAAGTTTGAGCTGTTACAGTTAAATGTTTTCTATCTGTCTTTTGAGAGGTAAACAGAGATAGTTTGGTCAAACATCATCACTTTACAAGCATAAACTGGCCTGCTAAAACACTGTCATTCCTATCTGGGTCAGAAGCATTGCCCAAGAAAAATGTGTGGAAGTTGAGGACACGCTCTCAGGACAAGAGAAATATATTTTACTTTCTGTGGGACAGTAGCTGCTGCACTGTATTTTGCCTGTAAGTGTAGGAATTAAATTACAGTGGACGTTCCTAGTGAATATAAAGGCCAGGTTGGACAGGGCTTGGAGCCACCTGGTCTAGTTGGAGGTGTCCCTGTCCATAGCAGAGGGGTTGGAACAAAATGATCTTTAAGGTCCCAAACCAGTCTGTGATTTTATGATTCTGTGATTCCTTTCTAGTTACTAGGAAGGTTTCTAAAACTCAAGAATATCCCAGCAATGATATTCCTGATGTATTTTGGATTACTCTGCCCAGCGTGGCAAGTGCTTTAACAAGCACAACTTAAAAAGAAAAATCCTGCCTCAAATAGGTATTGATATAAGTTAAAGAGAGAATTCAGCAAAGGCACAGAGACTCACAAGACCACCAGCAAGACAAACTGATAAACATTCATCTCAAGAGCACCTGCAGCCTAACTGAGATGTAACAAGGCTTTACAACTTTGATGTAACAAGGTTTAACCTTCTGGCTCATTTAATAGAATTAGATCACAGACTCACAGAATCACAGAATCACAGAATGGTTTGGGTTGGATGGGACCTTAAAGATCATCTCATTCCAAACCCCTGCCATGGGTAGGGACACCTTCCACTAGACCAGGCTGCTCCAAGCCCCATCCAGCCAGACCTTGAACACTTCCAGAATTAAATGATTTCCAGTGATTATTTCCATTACATAATCCTATTTGGTAGGTTTTTTTTTTTAAATAGAAAAGACAGGACATAGCTCAAATAAGATGCTTCCTCCTTTCCTGCTCATTCTGGGATCCCTCTGCTGTCAATGGAATCCAGTAAACAGTTCCACTCCATGCCAAAGTTGATACCTAAAATGGATCAGGTGGACTGTGCCCTAAAAGTGCCTGCTTGGTTTTTTCAAATTTTATTTTCTGATGATGGAGAGAGCATTGAGTGACCAGTCCAGCAGTAACACACATAATACAGTCATGTACTGGCAAGTTGAAATTAATCCTATTCAAGCAGTCCATTGCAGAAGTACTCATATGTATTACTCAAAACATACTGTGTCCACTGATATACTATTAAATTACTCAGAAGAAATACAAAACTTCAGATTTTTCATCTCTGATAACCTTCATGAGGGTATGATGACAGAAAATGGAAAAAATATCTCTCACTCAAATCATCCAGCAACAGCCTCTACTTTCATACTCTGACAACAGCTACTGGAGGGATGACAAGATGGGAAGTCTGGGACACTGACCAGCAGGTACAGGGAGAAGCTGTCAACCAGTTCAACAGGCATTTAAAGGGCTACTGGTTTTACTGTTTGTACTGTGTCTGAAAAGCTGTCCACAGACAAGAATATCATGAGGGATCATGTGAATATTAATTTATAGGAAAGGTTCTGTGGGAAACTGTTCTCAAGTGAATTTCCATTAAAATGTCATTTTTAACATCAACATCTGCCTTCTTATTTTATTTTACAGAGTATATAGACATTACAAAGTGGCAATTAAAGAATTCCAAACTCTGACATGGTTTGGACTCGTACCTGCTCCAGCTCATCTGTGAAACCCTCATGATCAACACTGTCTCCTTCTTCTGACTCGATGTCCACCCCACAAACATCTCTGGTGTACAGGTCCCCAAAGGCTCTAGCCAGCACATGGGAGATGTCCTGGGGAGAGAAAATGAGGATGTTTGTTTAGCGCTTAAAGCCTTAGATAGGATGGGAAGAGATCCCTGGGCATGTGCTAACGTCTGGAATTAGCAAATAGAGGAGGAAAAGTGGGGGGAAAGGTACGTGGAAATGTTGTGTGCATGTGAATACTGAGGTGAGCAGGGGGTTGTGCACACAAGGCAGTGCAGACACAGACACGGTGTGTCCTGGCTGTACCTGGAGGTGATGGTGATGGACATGGGGCTCTGTGAGCACAGAGCATGTGTGTGTCACAGTTTGTGCAGGGATGGGGCTGTGTGGGGCTGTGTGAGTGGGGTGTGTGTGTGTGAGGGAGACAGAGCATGGTACAGGGGACATATGTGTGTGTCTGTGTGTCAGTCCTCGTGCTGGGTGTGTGCCTACATGTCCCAGGGTGTGTGCAGGGGGGTGTGTGTGTGTGTGTGTGTGTGTGTGTGTGTGTGTGTGTGTGTGTTTGCAGAGGGGTCTCTATGTGTGTCTGTGCAGCTGCAGAAGGGTCTGTGTGTAGGGGTGTGTGTGTTTGTGTAAGGCTGTTTGCAGGGGCAGTCTGTGTGTGTGTCTGTGAGTGTGAGACTGACTGCAGAGGGATCTATGTGTGCAAGTGTCTGTGTTTGTGTGAGGCTGTTTGCAGAGGGGTCTGTGTGAGACTGGGTGAATGGGGGGGGGGGTGTGTTTGTGTGTGTGCAGTGTGGAGTTGTTTGTAGGGACGTCCGTGTGTGCAGGTATGTCTGTGCAGGTGTGTGTATCTGTGAGGCTGTGTGTGTGCACAGGGGAGTCCGTGTGTGTTTGTGTGTGCAAATGTGTCTCTGTGTGTGAGGCTGTTTGCAGGGTCTGTGTATAGAGTAGAGGTCTGTGTCTGTGTGTGTCTATGTGTGTCTGTGTGTGTCTGTGTGTGTGAGGCTGCAGTGGGGTCTGTGTGAGCAGCAGTGTGTGTGTGCTCAGGGGGGTCTGTGTGTGTTTGTGGGAGCAGATGTGTGTGTGGGGGGGGGGGATGAGGCTGTTTGCAGGGGTTGCGTGTGCAGTGAAGGTTTGTGTGTCTCTGTGTGTATGAGGCTGTTCTCAGTGGGGTCTGTGCGTGCAGGGGGGTGTGTGTGTGTGTATGTGTACGCACGCTGCAGGAGTGTGTGTGCACAGGGAGGGGTCTGTATGTGTTTGTGTGTGCACATGTGTGCGTGAGGCTGTTTGCAGGGTCTGTGTGCACGGGTGTGATGCTGTCTGGTAGGGGGGTGTGTGCGCCCGTGCTGTGTTACCTGCGAGCTGGGCTCGGGGCTCCCCATAGCCATGGCCAACCCAGCACTGGAATCCTGCGAGCTGGGGCTGGGGCTCCCCTCAGCCATGGCCAGCTCGGCGCTGGAATCCTGTGAGCCGGGGCAGAGGCTCCCCTCAGCCATGTTCTCTGAGCCGGGGCTGGGGCTCCCTTCAGCCATGTCCTCTGAGCCGGGGCTGGGGCTCCCCTCAGCCATGTCGTCCGAGCCGGGGCAGGGGCTCCCCTCAGCCATGTCCTCTGAGCCGGGGCTGGGGCTCCCCTCAGCCATGGCCAGCCCGGCCTCTCCTCAGGTCCCGCCGCCGCCGCCGTTGCCGAGTGACGGTGCGGGCGGGCAGGGCACGGCCGGGCGGGGGAATGGCGGCCGCCCCCCTGCCCGGGCGCCATCGCCCCTCACACCCCCGCCGGCGCTCTGGGGGCTGAGGGCGGCACCCCCAGGCTCCTCTACCCCATCTCCCCCCGCCATGTACTTTTTTAGTGAACTTTTAAGGACGAGGAGTCTTAATAAGAAACGAAATAAAATGTTGGCTTGAAAGCTGGGGAGGGGATTTGTGCTTTTGGAGGCGTTGTGAGGGTATATGGGGGGGGTGGGGGGGTGGCTCGCCCCTCCGCCGCTGTGCAGATGGTGGGTTGGAGCTGAGGGAAGAAGCCAAATCCTCTTCTGTTTCCCCTCACGCGGCACGAGAAGCATGGGCTCATCCCTGCCGCTGGAGCCGGGCTGGGAGATGGGAATATTCATCATCGGCCCAAAACCCATCCATCTCCCCGCTCTGCCTGCGGCGCTCTGGCTGTGTATGCTGGTTGCTAACAACAGCCGCCGGCTCCGCTGAAACAGGTGATATTTGCCATAGAAACCATCCCGGTGTAGATTTTCTCCTTGTCCTGCTGCCTTTTTTTTTCTTTCTTTCTTTCTTTCTTTCTTTCTTTCTTTCTTTCTTTCTTTCTTTCTTTCTTTCTTT